TCTAGACCCAGGACACACAGTGGAGGGGGTGTCCAAGGATTTCCTGATGATCAGATGTGGTTTGAGAAAGAGAGGGGGCCAAGTCTGGTGGCACATGCCTGTAATCCCAGACTTTGGGAAACGAAAGCAGGAGGACAGCTTGAGCCCAGGAGTTCGAAACCAGCTGGGCAACATAGCAAGACCTGGTCTCTACAAAAAAAAATAAAAATTAACTGGGTGTGGTGGTGCTTGCCTGTCGTCCCATCCACTTGGGAGGCTAAGGTGGGAGGATCACTTGAGCCCTGGAGTTCGAGAACAGCCTGGGCAACATGGCGAAACCCTGTCTCTACAAAAAATACAAAAATTAGCCAGGCGTGGTGGCACACGCCTGTATTTTTACCTACTCTGGTGGCTGAGGTGGGAAGCTTATCTGAACCTAGGAGGTTAAGGCTGCAGTGAGCCGAGATTGCACCACTACACTCCAGCCTGTGTGACAGAGTGAAACTGTGTCTCAAAAATAAAAAGTGAATTCAGGAGTTCGAAACCAGACTGGCCAACACTGTGAAACCCCGTCTCTCCTAGAAATACAAAAATTAGCTCAGACCAGGTGAACTGGCTCACACCTATAATCCCAGCACTTTGGGAGGCCAAGGCAGGGATATCATTCAAGGTCAGGAACTCGAGACCAACCTGGCCAACATGGTGAAACCCCGTCTCTACTAAAAATACAAAAATAAATAAATAAATAAGCTGTGCATGGTGACAGGTGCCTGTAATCCCAGCTACTTGGGATGCTGTGGCAGGAGAATCACTTGAACCCAGGAAGCAGAGGTTGCAGTGAGCAGAGATTGCGCCATTGCACTCTAGCCTGTGACAAGAGCAAAGCTCTGCCTCAAAAAACTAATAATAATAATAAGACGGGTGTGGTGGCCCACACCTGTAATCCCAGCTGCTTGGAAGACGGAGACAGGAGAATCACTTGAACCCCAGAGGCGGAGGTTGCAGTGAGCCAAGATTGCGCCAGTGGACTCCAGCTTGGGCGACAGAGTGAGACTGTCTCAAAAAAACAAAAACAAAAACCACACAAGGCTTTTCAGTGAAATGCTCGCTCCTCTTCCTTTGCATCCTCCCAGTTCCCCTGGCCCCCATCAAGGGGGCCATTGTTATTCATATGGATATAGATTCCCCCCTCTTTCATCCAAATGGCCCCGTAGTACACACAGTTCCACCCTGCCAGTTTCACTTAGTATTTCTTGGAGATGTTTCCTTGTCTGTACATAGATAGCTTCTTGTCAGTACATAGGGAGCCATTCAGGGTTGGTAAAGTGGTTGGTAATATGGGTGCTGGCAAAACAGGTTTTGCAGCCTCACTGGTGTTCTGCAAAGGCAGCTTCCTGCCTGGATTGGCACATGGGCAACTTCCTTTTGATTTCCCTCAGCTTTAATCTATCCAGCCCAGGTGGAGACAGCCCAGTTTACAGTTCTGCATTCTGGCATAGATGCAGTTCGTACAAGCTCTCGGCCCCATGCTTTTTCTTCCTCTGCTGTGTTTACCCTTCTAGAGTTGCAGAATGAATCACCCACCTGAGGGAAACACAGGGGTTTTTTGTGTTTTTTTTTTTTTTTTTTGAGACAGTCTTGCTCTGTTGCCCAGGCTGGAGTGCAATGGTGCAATCTCGGCTCACTGCAACCTCCACTTCCTGGTTCAAGCGATTCTCCTGCCTCAGCCTCCTGAGTAGCTGAGAGTACAGGGGCCCGGCTAATTTTTGTATTTTTAGTAGAGATGGGGTGTCACCATATTGGCCAGGGTGGTCTCGAATGCCTGACCTGTGATCCACCCACCTTGACCTCCCAAAGTGCTGGGATTACAGGTGTGACCCACCATGCCCGGCCAGGTTTTTCTTTTTCTAGGCCCACTGTGGCCACCAAAGTTGGGGCCAGGGGGCCTTCAGGGACAGGGGCCCCAAGTTGCAGGTTAACACATAGAGCCCTTTCTGAGATGCAGGTTTTACAGGGAACTGGATTCCACCTCTTTTGGGGAGATCAACCCAGCACTCCAAGGATCCGCTGATGGTGCCTGAGCACAGCTGTGAGAAGGGGGTGTCTGGATCCTTGGGATGGCAGGATGGGAGAGGTGGGGCATGGGCCTGCAGGCTGGCCCCCAGAGTCCCCCTTACTAGCTAGAATTCTGAAAATTGTGTTATGTAAAACACTTAGCATCTGCAGTGCCAAATAAAGGTGACCCCCACTATGACATTAAAAAATAAATAAATAAAAATAAATTTTAAAAAGACATGTCCAAATCCTAACCCTGGGAACCTGTCAAGATATTTCCTTATTTGGTGTTTTTTTGTTTTGTTTTGTTTTGCTTAAGACAGAGTTTTGCTCTGTTGCCCAGGCTGGAGTGCAGTGGTGTGATCTCAGCTCACTGCAACTGCTGCCTCCGGGTTCAAGCAATTCTCCTGCCTCAGCCTCCCAAGTAGCTGGGACTACAGGCACGCACCACCATGCCCAGATAATTTTTGTATTTTCAGTAGAGACAGGGTTTTACCATGTTGGCCAGGATGGTCTCAACTCCTGACCTCAAGTGATCTGCCCGCCTCAGCCTCCCAAAGTGCTGGGATTACAGGTGCCTGGCTGGTATTTCCTTATTTGGAAAGACCATCTTTGTAGGTGTTATTAGCTAAAGTCGAGTCATTCTGGGTTAGGGTGGGCTCTAAATCCCACGACTGGTGTCCTGCTAAGAGACAGAAGAGGGAGGGACACACAGAGAGGGGACCACGTGAAGACCGTGGCAGAGACTGGAAGAGGCAGAGGTGACTGGAGTGACGTAGCCACAGGCCTTGGAACACCTGGAGCCACCAGGAGCTGCCGGAGGCAAAAGAGGCATTGGTGGAGTGTGGCAGCGTCCACACTTTAATTTCAGACTTCTGGCCTCTAGAACTGTGGGAGAACGTTCTACTGCTCTGAGACACTCAATTTGTAGTACTTTGTTACAGCTGCCCTGGTAAACAAATGCAACATCTATTTTCAGCAAAGCAGGGAGTTCTTGGAAAGATGACTAGACCGGGTTCCTTCTCCCAAGGGCGCTGTGTTCTGGCTGTGAATACTAGGAGTGCGTCGCTGCGGTGGGAGGGGAGGCAGGGTTTACTGACTGGTCATTCCCACTGGTCTGGATGCCCTTTCTCTTCCTTCCTTCCTTTTTTCAGAATCTCGCTCTGTCACCCAGGCTGGAGTGCAGTGGCACAGTCTCAGCTCACTGCAGCCTCTGCCTCCCAGGTTCAAGTAATCCTCCCACTTCAGCCTCCCGAGTAGCCGAAATTACAGGTTCCCACCACCACATCCAGCTAATTTTTTTTTTAAGTTTTAGAAAATACAGTCTAAGGCACGAGAATTGCTGGAACCCAGGAGGCAGAAGTTGCAGTGAGCTAAGATGGCACCACTGCACTCCAGCCTGGGTGACAGAGCAAGACTCCATTGCAAAAAACAAAAACAAAACAACGATGAATGCTAGAATAAAAAATAAAGCAAGAGGCCAGGCGCAGTGGCTCACACCTGTAATCCCAGCACTTTGGGAGGCCGAGGTGGGTAGATCACCTGAGTTTGAGCTGGAGACCAGCCTCGCCAATACAATGACACCCTGTCTCTACTAAAAATAGGAAAATTAGCCAGATGTGGTGGCATGTGCCCGTAATCCCAGCTACTCAGGAGGCTGAGGCAGGAGGATTGCTTGGGGCTGGGAGTTAGAGGCTGTAGTATGCTGTGATCGCACCTGTGAATAGCCACTGCACTCCAGCCTGGGCAACATAGTGAGCCCCTGCCCTTTAAAACAAAAAAGTATAGCGCATGTGATAAGTATGTAGTAAAGTCATGCTGAAAAGCATCCTGGCAGAACCACAGTACATTTGTTGACAGACGTCTGGACTGGCAGTCCTCACTCTCTTTTTTTTTTTTGAGACAAGAGTCTCGCTCTGTCGCCCAGGCTGGAGTGCAGTGGCACGATCTCAGCTCACTGCAAACTCTGCCTACCGGGCTCACGCCATTCTCCTGCCTCAGCCTCCCAAGCAGCTGGGACTACAGGCGCCCGCCACCACGCCCAGCTAATTTTTTGTATTTTTAGTAGAGACGGGGTTTCACCGTGTTAGTCAGGATGGTCTCAATCTCCTGACCTTGTGATCCGCCCACCTCGGCCTCCCAAAGTGCTGGGATTACAGGCGTGAGCCACCACGCCCCACCTGGCAGTCCCTTTTTTTTTTTTTGTGAGACGGAGTCTCACTCTGTCGCCCAGGCTGGAGTGCAGTGGCCGAATCTCGGCTCACTGCAAGCTCCGCCTCCCGGGTTCAGCCATTCTCCTGCCTCAGCCTCCCGAGTAGCTGGGACTACAGGCGCCCGCCACCTCGCCCAGCTAGTTTTTTGTATTTTTTTAGTAGAGACGGTTTCACCGTGTTAGCCAGGATGGTCTCGATCTCCTGACCTTGTGATCCGCCCGTCTCGGCTTCCCAAAGTGCTGGGATTACAGACTTGAGCCACCGCGCCCGGCCTGGCAGTCCTCTTTCAATGGGAGGTGCTCAGAGCTGAAGCTCAACATGTCAACTTAAGGCAGCTTTCAGCCGGAAGGCTTCTACCCGAGCTGAAATAGAAATTGCCGCCACCTGGCTGGGCGCAGTGGCTCACGACTGTAATCCCAGCACTTTGGGAGGCCAAGGTGGGCAGATCACCAGGTCAGGAGTTCAAGACCAGCCTGGCCAACATGGTGAAACCCTGTCTCTATTTGAAACAAAAACAAAAACAAAAAAGTTAGCTGGGCATAGTGGCGTGTGCCTGTAGTCCCAGCTACTTGGGAGGCTGAGGCAGGAGAATCGCTTGAACTGGGGAGGGGGAGGTTGCAGTGAGCCGAGATCGCGTCACTGCACTCCAGCTTGGGCAACAGAGTGAGATTTCATCCCCCCCAAAAAAAAGAAGAAAAGAAATTGCCACCACCTGAGCTTGTGCTAACAGCAACTTGTCCATTTCTGAGACAGCCACCAGGAGGGCCCGGGCCACCAGGAAGAGCCTGCTGCATGTCCCCTATGGAGACGGCGAAGGGGAGAAAGTGGACATTTACTTCCCTGACAAGGCAGCTGAAGGTTGTCAGCGAAGGGGCTAGGGGTCCTGGGACTTGGGGGTCCAGTGGCAGAGCTCAGCAGGGCGGGCCCCACTCATGCACCTTGTGCTTGGTTTTTTGTTTTGTAGCTTTGCCTTTCTTCCTGTTCTTTCACGGAGGATACTGGCAGAGTGGAAGGTGAGTCAGGGGATGTGGATGGTGGACTGCAGGAGAGATTCCACTTTCCCTGGGGGACTCTTCCTCCAGGGCTGCCCCAACCAAAAGGCCACAGCTGGGTGATTCCCACAGGCCCGTGTCTCACAGCACTGGAGAGCGGAAGTCTCAAGTCAAATGTGGGCCAGGTTCCTAGGGAGGATCCTTCCTGCCTCCTCCAGCTTCCTGTGGCCTCAGGCAGTCCTTGGCTTGTGTCCACAGAGCTCCAGCCTCTGCCTCCATTCACATGTGATCCTTGTGTTCCTGGGTCTCCTATCTTCCTCTTCTTTTTTTTTTTCTTTTTTTTGAGACAGAGTCTCACTCTACCCCAGACTGGAACGCAGTGGTGCGACCTCAGCTCGCTGCAATTTCTGCCTCCCAGGCTCAAGCAATTCTTCTGCTTCAGCTTCCCAAGTAGCTGGGATTACAGGTGCGCACCACCAGGCCCAGCTAATTTTTGTATTTTTAGTAGAGACAGGGTTTCACCATGTTGGCCAGGCTGGTCTTGAACTCCTGACCTCAAGTGATCCTCCCGCCTTGACCTCTCAAAGTTCTGGGATTACAGGCGTGAGCCACCACACCAGCCTCCTGGTTTTTTTTTTTGTTTTTTTTTTTTGAGATGGAGTCTTGCTCTGTCCCGCAGGCTGGAGTGCAGTGGCACCATCTCGGCTCACTGCAAGCTCCGCCTCCCGGGTTCACCCCATTTTCCTGCCTCAGCCTCCAGAGTAGCTGGGACTGCAGGCGCCCGCCACCACGCCCGGCTAATTTTTTTGTGTTTTTAGTAGAGATGGGTTTTCACCGTATTAGTCACAGTGGTTTCGATCTGACGTTGTGATCCGCCCGCCTCGGCCTCCCAAAGTGCTGGGATTACAGGTGTGAGTCACCGTGCCTGGCCTCCTTTTTTTGTTTTTTTATAAGGTCATAGTCACAGGTTCTGGGGTTAGGATTTGGACATATCTTTTGGGGGGACACAGTTCAACCCACTGCAACCAGTGAGAAGCACGTTCAGCCTCCTCTTGAATCAAAGGAAAAGCCAGAGTGACCAACCACTGTCCCCGTTTGCTTGGGACTGAGGAGGGGTTTCCTAGGACATGGGGTTTTCAGTACTTTAGAAAAAAAATAATGAAAGTCCAAGGTAAAATGGGACAGTTGGTCACTGTAAGCTTTTTGTGGGTATTTGGGAATTTGGGATCTTGACAGACACTGCGTTCCCTACGGTCTTCCTACAGCGTTGCCTTCAAGCATCTTCATGTTAATAGCTTACATTTAATGGCCAGGCACGGGGGCTCACGCCTGTAATCCCAACACTTTGGAAGGGCAAGGCGGACGGATCACTTGAGGTCAAGAGTTTGAGACCAGCCTGGCCAACATGGTGAAACCCTGTGTCTACTAAAAATACAAAAATTAGCTGGACGTGGTGGCGTGTGCCTGTAATCCCAGCTACTCAGGAGGCTAACGCAGGAGAATCGCTTGAACCCAGGAGGGGGGGTTGCAGTGAGCCAAGACCATGCCACTGCACTCCAGCCTGGGTGACACGACGAGATTCTGTCTCAAAAAAAAAAAGCTTACATTTATTCCACACAAAACTCTCTACACTGCTGGTCTTTAATTCTCAAAAACAGTTCCCTAACAGAGGGAATATAATTGCCTCTATTTTATACAGATGAGGAAACCAGGCTTAGAAGTTACATAAATTGCCAGGCACGGTGGCTCACACCTATAATCCCACACATTGGGAGGCCGAGGCGGGAGGATTGAGTTAGAAACCAGCCTGGTCAACATAGCAAGACCCCCATCTCTACAAAAGAAAAAATAGGCCGGGCGCGGTGGCTCAAGCCTGTAATCCCAGCACTTTGGGAGGCCGAGACGGGCGGATCACGAGGTCAGGAGATCGAGACCATCCTGGCTAACACGGTGAAACCCCGTCTCTACTAAAAAATACAAAAAACTAGCCGGGCGAGGTGGCGGGCGCCTGTAGTCCCAGCTACTTGGGAGGCTGAGGCAGGAGAATGGCGTAAACCCGGGAGGCGGAGCTTGCAGTGAGCTGAGATCCGGCCACTGCACTCCAGCCCGGGCGACAGAGCGAGACTCCGTCTCAAAAAAAAAAATTAAAAAATTAAATAAATAAATAAATAAATAAATAAATTTGCTGTGCATAGTGGTGCACACCTGTACTCCTGCTTGGGAGACTGAGGCAGGAGGATTGCTTGAGCCCAGGAGGTCGAGGCTGCAGTGAACCGTGATGACGCCATTGCACTCCAGCCTGGGCGACAGAGCGAGGCCCTATCACTTAGAAAAATAAAGTTACGGCCGGGCGCGGTGGCTCACGCCTGTAATCCCAGCACTTTGGGAGGCCAAGGTGGGCGGATCACAAGGTCAGGAGATCGAGACCATCCTGGCTAACCTGGTGAAACCCCATCTCTACTAAAAATACAAAAACAAAATTAGCCTGGCGTGGTGGCGGGCGCCTGTAGTCCCAGCTACTCTGGAGGCTGAGGCAGAATGACGTGAACCCGGGAGGCAGAGCTTGCAGTGAGCCGAGATTGCGCCACTGCACTCTAGCCTGGGCGACACAGCGAGACTCCGTCTCAAAAAAAAAAAAAAGAAAAAGAAAGTTACATGAAGCTCCCCCATGGTCCCATAGCTAGTATGTGATGTGGCAGGGAGAGATCCTGTCCGCTTCCCTCTCTCAAACGGGGCCAGAAAGGGGTGGTGCTGTGCATGGACAGAACATCTGGAAAGTGGTGTGTCCAGGACACAGGAAGCAGCGTAGTGGCCAGGCTGCCTCCAGCTGTCACATCTGTGTCTCTCTCTGCAGTAAGGACGAGTCTGCCTTCATGGTCGACCCGCTGACGGCACAGGGAGTGGCCGTGGTAATAGTGGCTTATGACATCGCCCCCAAAGGTAATAGGGGTGGTTGCTGCAGGTCCGAGGGCCGGTGTGGGCTTTAGGAGGAAGCGAGTTCCTGACCCAGCTCATACTCTCTGTGCAGGCACCCTGGACCAGATGGTAGACCAGGTGACCCGCAGCGTTGCGTTTGTCCAGACGCGGTATCCAAGCAATGGGTGGGTGTTGCTGGTAGATTTTCTTCCTGTTGGACCTCACTGGGTGGGAGGACAGTGCAATCAGTCCCTCGGACACAGCCAAGCTTCCCCTCCGGCCTGTGGAGCAGAAAGCAAATTGGGACTCTTTGAAGTGGGCCTGATGTTGTGGGGAAACTGTGTGCAAATCCAGTTCTCTGCTCTGACCCCTCCCAGGGGAATTTACCTATGTGGACATTCAGCCGGGGCCCACCTGGCCGCCATGATGCTCCTTGCCAACTGGACCAAGCATGGGGTCACGCCCAACCTCAAAGGTTTCCATGGGGGCTGCAGCCTGGCTGGGCAACCTTCATCTCCCCATGAGCCTTGCGGTTTGGGCCAACTGATTGAAATCCTCCCAGCTGTGAGTGGCTTGACCGCAGGGCTTCCAGCCCTCTGAGCAAGGCCTTCTCTGCTTCCTCCGTGCCCCCTCCCCTGGTCCTGCCCCTCTGGCCGTGGGGGTGGGCTGGCCCTGCCTTGCTCCGCCTGGAGCCCGGTCCTGTGACGATTCTGCACCCTCACAGGGTTTTTCCTCGTGAGTGGGGTCTTTGACCTGGAGCCCATCATGTATACTTCACAGAACATCGCTCTGCAGCTGACCCTGTGAGTTACCTGCCCACCACCTCCCCTGGCTCACCTGGAGCCCGGCTTCTCTCCGTCCTGACCCATCCACTCCCCACCCCAGGGAGGACGCTCAGAGGAACAGCCCCCAGCTGAAGGTGGCCCAGGCGCAGCCGGTGGACCCCATCTGCCGTGTGCTGGTGGTCGTGGGCCAGTTCGACTCCCCCGAATTTCACCGACAGTCCTGGGAGTTTTACCAGGTACTCTCAACACAGGTTTGTGGCCAGAGGTCGAGGGTCATGTGAGCTCATTATTTGCCTCATCCGTCATTTATTTAACACAGTGAACCCTGACCTGTGCCAGGCATGGCCCCATGTCCTGCCCCACCTCCTTTCCCACTGCTCAGGCCCCTCCCCCCATGTCTCCCCGCCCCAGACCCTGTGTCAAGGAGAGTGGAAAGCCTCGTTTGAACAGCTCCATGATGTGGACCACTTTGAAATCGTTGAGAATCTGACCCAGAAGGACAACGTGCTCACCCAGGTGGGGCCTCATCCCTGGCATCCCTTTCGGGGTAGACAGCACGGATCCCGCCGCAGCCTCTTAGATGCGCAAACCAGGAGTTCGAGACCAGCCTGGCCAGCATGGAGAAACTCCGTCTCTACTAAAAATACAAAAAAAATTAGCCAGATGTGATGGTGCGTGCCTGTAATCCCAGCCACTCAGGAGGCTGAGGCATGAGAATTGCTTGAACCCAGGAGGCAGAGATTGCAGTGAGCCAAGATTGCACTCCAGCCTGGGCAATGGAGCAAGACTATCTCAAAAACAAAACAAAACAAAACAAAAAAAAAACACCTGAGAACCTAGGAAAGAAAGAACCTAAGAACATCTCGTTTCTTTCTTTTTTTTTCTTTAGAGACAGGGTCTCCTAAGTTGCACCCAGGCTGGAGTACAGTGGCAGAATCTTAGTTCTCTGCCGCCTCCTGGGCTCAAGTGGTGATCCTGCCTCAGCCTCCTGAGTAGCTGGGACTACAGAGGTGTGCCACTGTGCCCTGCTAATTATTAAATGTTTCTGTAGAGATGGGGTCTCTCTCTGCTCCCCAGACTGGTCGTCTTCTTTTTTAATCTCAGCATATTATACCTCTAACCAGGCTGTCTTGAACTCCTGACTTCAAGTGTCTTCCTGCCTCAGCCTTCCAAACTGTTGGGGTTGCAGACATGACTCACTGCATCCAGCCCTGTCTCGTTTCCTTAATCAAATTCCTGCCAAGAGCTTCTCCGATTCTGGGGCTTTTGTGCCTTCTCTTCCTGTTCCAGATTATCTTGAAAACGATCTTCCAGTAGTTCTGACAACACCTGGAGCCTGGTCCAAGTGCACCCCACCTTGGGAAGCCTCTCCAAAGAGCTTTCGGAGCTGAAGCTGCCAGCTTCAATTTTCCCCAGCACCCAGGAGAGCCTTGCTGTGTCTGCCTGCCCGGCAAGAGTCCATTCTCACTGCTGGGATACTTGTGAAAATCTCCAGGTCCTCCCTCTTCCCAGCCCGGATGGAGCTTCAGGGAGGCTCCAGGGAACGTCCACGAGTCAATGCTCAGAGATGCCGGGAGCCACCTGTAAGCCTCATCTGGCCCCTCTATCTGCTGACAGAACATGACAAAGATGACTTACCTCTAGCGTTTTTGTATGACCCACCAGCTAAGAATGGCATCACTTTTTTTTTTTTTTGGAGATGGAGTCTCACTCTGTCACCCAGCCTGGAGTGCAGTGGTGTGATCTCGGCTCACTGCAACCTCCACCTCCCAGGTTCAAGCAATTCTCCTGCCTCAGCCTCCCGAACAGCTGGGACTACAGGCGCCTGCCACCGCGCCCAGCCAGAATGGCATTATATTTTTAGAAGGTTCATAAAGAAGCACAAAAAATATTATTTCATAACATGTAGAAATTACATAAAACTTAAATTTCCATGTTGATAAATAAAGTTGTATTGGGACACGGCCCTGTTCGTTCATTTACGTATTGACTAGGGCAGCTTTCCAGCTACAGGGCAGAGCGGAGTGGTGGTGACAGTGACCTCCTGGCCCGTACTGCCTGAGGCATTTCCTATCTGGCCCTTTTCAGGAAAAGTTTGCGGACCCCTGGGTAAGGGCTTCCCCAAGCCAGCTACCCTCCGCCTTCTGCTTCAGTCTCCTGTCTGCCCTGTCCTCCGTCTCCCTGACATTTGGGTCTGTCCCTGAATGCCCCAGGGTCTCAGCGTTGGGACCAACACCTTGACCTTGATGGGACAATGCTACCCACATGTAGGACAAGCGTCTGCTGCACCCCAAGAATGGTGTGCATGTCCCAAGAAGCCAGCTACATCCATCCACCACCCACCCCACCACACCGCCTCTTTCTCTCACACTGAATAGCATTCAAGAATTTCCACTGTGGGCCGGGCACGGTGGCTCATGCCTGTAATCCCAGCACTTTCGGAGGCCAAGGTGGGCGAATCACCTGAGGTCAGGAGTTCAAGACCAGCCTGGCCAACATGGCAAAACCCTGTCTCTACTAAAAATACAAAAATTAGCCAGGTGTGGTGGTGCACACCTGTAATCCTAGATACTTGGGAGGCTGAGGCAGGAGAATCACTTGAATCCAGGAGGCGGAGGTTGCAGTGAGCTGAGACTGTGCCCCTGCACCCCAGCCTGGGTGACAGAGCCAGACTCCATCTCAAAGAAAAAAAAAAAAAAAACAATTTCTACTGTGTGTGTGCAGCAAGCCATCATGACACACATTTACCTGTGTAACAAACCTGCACATCCTACACATATACCCTGGAACTTAAAGTAAAAGTTGGGGGGAAAAAATAGAATTTCCACTGTGACGTTATTGAGTATAGCAAAAACACAAGAAACAGCCTAGTGTTCATTAGGGCATAAACGCATTCAAGCAGCATCAAACCCTGCAGCCATTACAAAGAGATCTATGTTGACCACGTGGAATATCTCCAAGAGCCACAATAGCCTCTCTTATCCACGGGATTCACTCCAAGACCTTCTGAAACCATGGATAATACTGAACCCTGTGTACACTATGTTCTTTCCTGTATATACATACCTATGATAAAGTTTAATTTATAAACTGGCAAATGGTATGAAGTATTCCTTCTAAGAGATTAACAATAACTAATAAAATAGAATGATTATAACAATATACTGTGATCAAAGTTATGCGAAGCCGGGCGCTGTGGCTCAAGCCTTTAATACCAGCATTTTGGGAGGCTGAAGCGGGTGGATCACCTGAGGTCAGGAGTTCGAGACCAGCCTGGCCAACATGACAAAACCCCATCTCTACTAAAGATACAAAAATTAGGCCGGGCGCGGTGGCTCACGCCTGTAATCCCAGCACTTCGGGAGGCCAAGGCAGGCGGATCACAAGGTCAGGAGATCGAGACCATCCTGGCTAACACAGTGAAACCCCATCTCTACTAAAAATACAAAAAATAAGCCGGGCATGATGGCGGGCACCTGTAGTCCCAGCTACTCCGGAGGCTGAGGCAGGAGAAGGGCGTGAACCCAGGAGGCAGAGCTTGCAGTGAGCCGAGATCATGCCACTGCACTCCAGCCTGGGCTACAGAGTGAGACTCCATCGCAAAAAAAAAAAAAAAAAAAAAGATACAAAAATGAGCTGGGCATGGTGGCGGGAGCCTGTAATCCCAGCTACTTGGGAGGTTGAGGCAAGAGAATCACTTGAATCTGGGAGGTGGAGGTTGCAGTGAGCTAAGATGGCACCATTGCACTCCAGCCTGGGCAACAGAGCGAGACTCCATCTCAAAACAAAACAAACAAACAAAGTTATGGGGTCGCTGTCTTTCTCTCAAAATATTCTTTTTTTGGCGGGACATGATGGCTCATGCCTGTAATCCTGGCACTTTGAGAGGCTGAGGTGGGTGGATCACCTGAGGTCAGGAGTTCAAAACCAGCCTGGCCAACATGGTGAAACCCCGTCTCTACTAAAAATACAAAAAATTAGCTGGGCATGGTGGTGCAGGCCTGTAATCCCAGCTACTTGGGAGGCTGAAACAGGAGAATCACTCGAAGTTGGGAGCCAGGGGTTGCAGTGAGCTGAGATCATGCCACTGGATTCTAGCCTGGGCAACAGAGTGAGACTCCGTCTTAAAAAAAAAAAAGAAAAGAAAAGAAAAAGAAACAAAAAGTCCTCTTTTTTTTTTTTTTTTGAGACTGGGTCTCACTCTTTCTCCCTGGCTGGAGTACAGTGGCCCAATCATTGCTCACTGCAGCTTTGACCTCCCAGGATCAAGTGATCCTCCCACCTCAGCCTCCAGAGTAGCTGGGACTATAGGTGCATGCCCGACTAATTTTTTTTTTTTGAGATGGAGTTTCACTCTTGTTGCTCTAGCTGGAATGCAATGGCTGGATCTCAGCTCACTGCAACGTCTGCCTCTTAGATTCAAGCGATTCTCATGCCTCACCCTCCCGAGTAGTTGGGATTACAGATGCTCACCACCATGCCCAGCTAATTTTTTGTAATTTTAGTGGAGACAGGGTTTCACCATGTTGGCCAGGCTAGTCTCAAACTCCTGATCTCAGGTGATCCACCTGCCTCAGCCTCCCAAAGTGCTGGGATTACAGGCGTGAGCCACTGGGCATGGCCTTGCCTGGCTAATTTTTTTAAAATTTTATAGAGATGGGGTCTCACTGTGTTGCCCAGGCTGATCTTGAACTCCTAGGTTCAAGGGATCCTCCCTCCTTGGTCTCCCAAAGTGCTGAGATTACAGGCATGAGCCACTGCCCCGAGCTGGGAAATACTTTTTTTTTTTTTTTTTTTTTGAGACAGAGTCTCACTCCGTCACCCAGGCTGAAGTGCAGTGGCGCTATCTCGGCTCACTGGAAGCTCCGCCTCCTGGGTTCATGCCATTCTCCTTAGCCTCCCGAGTAGCTGGGACTACAGGCACCCGCCACCACACCAGCTAAATTTTTGTATTTTCTTTTTTAGTACAGACGGAGTTTCACTGTGTTAGCCAGGATGGTCTCGATCTCCTGACCTCATGATCCACCTGCCTCGGCCTCCCAAAGTGCTGGGATTACAGGGGTGAGCCACTGCGCCCGGCTGGGAAATAATTTTTTAAGCCAGGGCAAGGTGAATCTGAAATGCCATTTGAGGAAAGATCTGTTCACCTGATGCCCTGTTTCAGCCTGGGTGGACAGGACAGCATCTGCCAGCTCCGGGAAGCACTGCAGATGGGAAGAGGCTTGGCCACTCTCCAAAGGTGGCAGGAGTTGGAGTGGGTGAACTGAAGGTAAGGAGAATCTAGGAGTTGGGGAACCTGGAGACAGGTTACCTGGCAGGGCTTAGGGCTGACACCCCCACAGATACAGTTCTGTTCACTGGGGCTGAAACATAAGAGGAACCCAACTGTTGTGGGAGGAAAAGACCCTTCTGCCCTTTCCTTTTTTCTTTTTCATTTTTTTCAAGGCAGAGTCTCTCTCTGTTGCCCAGGCTGGAGTGCAGGGGCACAATCTCAGCTCACTGCCACCTCCGCCTCCCGGGTTCAAGAGATTCTCCTACCTCAGCCTCCCGAGTAGCTGGGACTACAGGCGCGCACCACATGCCCAGCTAATTTTTGTATTTTTAGTAGAGACAGGGTTTCACCATATTGGCCAGGCTGGTCTCGAACTCCTGACCTTGTGATCCACCTGTCTCAGCCTCCCAAAGTCCTGGGATTACAGGCATGAGCCACTGTGCCCGGCCTGACCCCTCTGCCCTTTCAAAACAATGTTCGTTCTCTCACAGTCTTCTTTTATCGTATTAAGTCCACGCCGCAGGACTATTTTGTCCAGTGAATGCTATGCAAATATTTCATGCACCTGCTGGTCACAGGAATGATATGTACTTGGTACGCACTGATCGTACCTTGGTGTGGGAGAAGAGGGGGGAAGGAAGCAAAGAACAGCCCCCTCCTTTCCTGGTGCACCTTCAGATGTGCCGATGGGGCTCAGAATCACTGCAGATGGCCCCCTTCCCAGAGACAGGGGAGGATTCTCCACCCACTCCCCAGCCTCCAGGACCATCCTGAATCACGCCTTCAGGCACTCAAGTTATTATGCGTCTAGACACATGGATATATTCAAGCTGGGCACAGCACAGCAGCCCCACCCCAGGTGGCTTAAGTCAGAGCTGGAGTCCAAAGAGACCACATCCCAAGGGACTGTGTGGGGGTTGGGGCACACAGGCCACTGCTTCCCCCCGTCTTAGGCACTCCTGAAGTCAGCCTCACTCTGCCTCTGGGGGATTTCTTTTTTTTTTTTTTTTTTGAGACGGAGTCTCGCTCTGTCGCCCAGGCTGTAGTGCAGTGGCACGGTCTCGGCTCACTGCAAGCTCTGCCTCCTGGGTTCACGCCATTCTCCTGCCTCAGCCTCCCGAGTAGCTGGGGCTACAGGCGCCCGCCACCACGCCCGGCTACTTTTTTGTATTTTTAGTAGAGACGGGGTTCACCATGTTAGCCAGGATGGTCTCGATCTCCTGACCTCGTGATCCGCCCGTCTCGGCCTCCCAAAGTGCTGGAATTACAGGCTTGAGCCACCATGCCTGGCCTTCTCGGGGATTTCAAATGCGCTGAGACTCCAGCACTTTTGCAGAAGCTCCTTCTGGTCCTGACTTGCACCCGGATGCTGTGGGGCTGCAGCTGCTGCTTGGGTTCAGGAGGATGTTGGGGGCCCGGTGCCCATGAGCTTTTGAAGCTCCTGGAACTCGGTTTTGAGGGTGTTCAGGTCCAGGTGGACACCTGGGCTGTCCTTGTCCATGCATTTGATGACACTGTGTGCAGAAGTGGAAAGGAGTTGTTCCCTTCCTCCCTCCTGAGGGCAGGCAACTGCTGTGGGTGCCAGTGGAGGTGATGTGTTCTTGGTCTGTGCCCAGTGGCCACCCCAGCAGAAGCTATGGTGGTTCCAGGGACCAGTTAGCGAGCCAATCAGTGGGACCCAGGGACGGCCTACCAAAGTTAACTGGATTTGATAACTGTAGCAAAGTTGTTTCCTGATTTTGATGATTGTGCTGTGGTTGTGTGAGAGAATGAAGTATTCCGGGGTAGTGTGGTAATGCCTTCAACTTACAAACGGTTCAGGTAAACCACCCATATATGTACACATATATGCATATGATATATACACATACAGGGATGTGTGTGCGTTCATATATATGGGGGGAGAGAGAGAGAGGGAGAGAAAGGAGGTCAGGGAGAGGGAGAGAGAAAGAGGAGACACAGAAGGAGACAGCGAGAGAGTGGGGAGTAGAGAGAGGGAAAGGATAAGAGAGAGGGAGAGGAGGAAAGAGAGGCAGGAGGAAGCAGAATGTTAAAGGGAATAGGCAAAACATAAACAGAAAATCTGGGTGAAGGGTATATGAGTATTCTTTGCACTATTCTTGCAATTATCTTTTATTTAAATTGACATCAGGCCGAGTGCAGTGGCTCACGTCTGTAATCCCAGCACTTTGGGAGGCTGAGGCAGGCAAATCACCTGAGGTCAGGAGTTTGAGACCAGCCTGGCAAACATGACGAAACCCCGTCTCTACTAAAAATACAAAAATTAGCCTGGTGTAGTGGTGCGCGCCTGTAATCCCAGCTACTTGGGAGGCTGAAGCAGGAGAATCACTTGAACCAGGGGGGCAGGAGGAGGTTGCAGGAGGAAGTTGCAGTGAACTGAGATCATGCCACTGCATTCCAGCCTGGGCGATAGAGCAAGACTCAGTTTCAAATAAATAAATATCAAAATAAAAAGTTACTGTGTTAAAGAGTAGGGGCAGGGTGGGAGGATGGGGGTGGGGAAAGGTTGCTAAAATATATCAATAAATAAATAAACCCCAAAATGAAAAAGAGAGTGGGGGCACCAGGCCTACGTGGGACTGGAGGGCTGATGGGACCAGGCCTCTTCTCTCTGGCCAGAGAACCCAAGAAGTGAGCAGATGTGAGCAGTGCGGAGCTGGGCATTAGAGGTCCAGCACACCCTGTTCCAAAGCAGAGGACACAATCATTTTTTTTTTTAATAGGCTGCAGGACTTACTGTTGGTGGGACGCCCTGCTTTGCAAAGGGAAAGGAGGAGTTTGCCCTGAGCACGGGCCCCCACCCTCCACTGGGCTTTCCCCAGCTCTCTTGTCTTCTTATCATGGTGGTGGCCCAGTCCCTGGCCCCTGACTCCAGAAGGTGGCCCTCCTGGAAACCCAGGTCATGCAGTCAGCAATGTACTCACCGGGACAGCGATGTCTGCTGCACTCTGTCTCTCCCCTGTGCATATGTCCTTCATGCCCGTCTGGAGTGGTTGGTTTTTGCAGAGGTGGTGCCCTGTAAAGCCCTCCTGTCTGACTTTTTTTTTTTTTTTTTTTGAGACGGAGTCTCCCTCTGTCGCCCAGGCTGGAGTGCAGTGGCGCGATCTCGGCTCACTGCAACCTCTGCCTCCCGGGTTCAAGCGATTCTCCTGCCTCGGCCTCCTGAGTATTTGGGATAACAGGCATGCACCACCACGCCCGGCTAATGTTTGTATTTTTAGTAGAGACAAGGTTTCACCATGATGGCCAGGCTGGTCTTGAACTCCTGGCCTCAAGTGATGCTTCTGCCTAGGCCTCCCAAAGTGTTGGGATTACAGGCGTGAGCCACTGCACCCGGCCTGCACGCGCTCTTTGAAAGCAGTCGAGGGGGCGCTAGGTACGGGCAGGGACGAGCTGGCGCGGGGTTGCTGGGTGCACAGACAGCACGGGCAGAGCCGCGCGGCGGGAGGACTACAACTCCCGGCACGCCCCGCGCCTCCCCGCCTCTACTCCCAGAAGGCCGCGGGGGGTGAACCGCCTAAGAGGGCGTGCGCTCCCGACATGCCCCGCGGCGCGCCATTAACCGCCAGATTTGAATCGCGGGACCCGTTGGCAGAGGTGGCGGCGGCGGCATGGGTGCCCCGACATTGCCCCCTGCCTGGCAGCCCTTTCTCAAGGACCACCGCATCTCTACATTCAAGAACTGGCCCTTCTTGGAGGGCTGCGCCTGCACCCCGGAGCGGGTGAGACTGCCCGGCCTCCTGGGGTCCCCCAGACCCGCCTTGCCCTTTCCCTAGCGAGGCCACTGTAACTGGGCCCCGGGGGTACGAGCCGCCCTCCCCTCCCCGTCCTATCCCCAGCGAGGCCACTGTGGCTGGGCACCTTGGGTCCGAGCCGCCCTCCCCTCCTTACTTTGTCCCCATCGAGGCCTTCGTGGCTGGGCCTCGGGGTTCCGGGCTGCCGAGTCCACTCACGAGCTGTGCTGTCCCTTGCAGATGGCCGAGGCTGGCTTCATCCACTGCCCCACTGAGAACGAGCCAGACTTGGCCCAGTGTTTCTTCTGCTTCAAGGAGCTGGAAGGCTGGGAGCCGGATGACGACCCCATGTAAGTCTTCTCTGGCCAGCCACGATGGGCTTTGTTTTGAACTGAGCTGTCAAAAGATTTGAATTGTGAAGACACTTAGTATGGGAGGGTTGCTTTTCAGCCTCAATGCTTCTTAAACGGCTGTTTTGAACGGATACCTCTCTATATGCTGGTGCCTTGGTGATGCTTACAACCTGATTAAATTTCATTTGACCAAAATGCCCTTAGGGTGGATGTTAAAGTCTCATTCACATAAGATGCCTGATGCCTTTCATGTTCAATAGAATACATTAGCAGACCCTGTTGTTGTGAACTGCCAGAGATGTCCAAGTGCTTTTCTTGAGATTTTTTTAAAAAGTTTAATTGAAATATAACCCACACAGCACAAAAATTACCTTTTGAAAGTGTGCACTTCACACTTTGGGAGGCTGAGGTGGGCGGATCACCTGAGGTTAGGAGTTTGAGACCAGCCTGGCCAACATGGCGAAACCCCAGCTCTACTAAAAATACAGAAATTAGCCAGGCATGGTAGCACTCACCTGTAATCCCAGCTACTGGGGAGGCTGAGGCGGGAGAATCGCTTGAACCTGGGAGGCGGAGGTTGCAGTGAGCAGAGATTGTGCCATTGCACTCCAGCCTGGTCAACAGAGCGAGACTCCGTCATAAAAATAAAAAATTGAAAAAAAAAGAGAAAGAAAGAAAGCATGTACTTCAGTGTTGTTTTGGCTTTTTTTCTTCAAGATGCCTAGTTAATGACAATGACGTTCTGTACTCAGATGATGTCTGTCTTTCCACACTGTAATGCCATAACCTTTTCTCACCTTTTTTTCTGTCCGAATCAGTTGCTTCCACAACTTGAATTTTTTTCCCTTGAGAATCACCCCAGTTGTTTTTCTTGTTGGCCAGAAGAGACTAGCTGTGTTTTTCTTCGTATGTTTGCTATGGTGGTTGTACTGCATCCCAGTAATCACTGGGAAAATATCAGTGGTATTCGTCTTGAAAATGAATAAGTGTTATCATATTTGCAGATTAGAGTTACAACTGGCTGTCCTTTTGGACTTTGGGTGGCCATGTTTTCATTATAACACAGTTCTGGTAACGGTGATAATCAGCTATGCAGGGAGACTCCCCAAGCGGGAAATGAGAGTATGAGCTAGAGGGGTCCCTTGGGGAACCCTGGGCAATAATGGCCTTCTCTGCCCTTAATCCTTACAGTGGATTACATAACAATTCCAGTGAAATGAAATTACTTCAAACAGTTCCTTGAGAATGTTAGAGGGGTTTGACATGTAATTCCTTTGAACTTACACCATGTAACACTTTTCCAACTAACTGCTAAAGAAGTCCAGATAAAATAGATACATTAGCCACACAGATGTGGGGGGAGACGTCCACAGGGAGGAGACGGTGCTAAGAGGTGCCATATGGGAATGTGGCTTGGGCACAGCACGGATGCCAGACTTGACGTCTTGCTCCTGAGGCAGAGCAGGGCGTGCCTGTGGAGGGCGCGGGGAGGTGGCCCCCTGGGAGTGGACTGCCACTTTAATCCCTTCAACTGCCTTTCCGCTGTTGTTTTGATTTTTCTAGAGAGGAACATAAAAAGCATTCATCCGGTTGCGCTTTCCTTTCTGTCAAGAAGCAGTTTGAAGAATTAACCCTCGGTGAATTTTTGAAACTGGACAGAGAAAGAGCCAAGAACAAAATTGTATGTATTGGGAATAAGAACTGTTCAAACCCTATTCAATGTCTTTAGCACTAAACTACCTAGTCCCTCAAAGGGACTCTGTGTTTTCCTCAGGAAGCATTTTTTGTTTTTTTTTCTGAGACGGAGTTTCACTCTTGTTGCCCAGGCTGGAGTGCAGTGGCGCAATCTCAGCTCACTGCAACCTCCGCCTCTCGGGTTCAAGTGATTCTCCTACCTCAGCCTCCCAAGTAGCTGGGATTACAGGCACGTGCCACAACACCCAGCTAATTTTTGTATTTTTAGTAGAGATGGGGTTTCACCATGCTGGCCAGGCTGGTCTCAAACTCCTGACCTCATGGTTCGCCCACCTCAGCCTCCCAAAGTGCTGTGATTACAGGTGTGAACCACCGCACCTGGCTTTTTTTTTTTTTCTCTGAGACAGAGTTTCACTGTTGCCCAGGCTGGAGTGGAGTGGCATGATCTCGGCTCACTGCAACTTCTGCCTCCCGGGCTCAAGCGGTTTGCCTGCTTCAGCCTCCCAAGTAGCTGGGATTATAGGCATGTGCCACCACACCCAGCTAATTTTTGTATTTTTGATAGAGACGAGGTTTTGCCATGTTGGCCAGACTGATCTTGAACTCCTGACCTCAGGTGATCCGCCCACCTCGGCCTCCCAGAGTGCTGGGATTACAGGTGTGAGCCATCACGACCGGACTCAGGAAGTATTTTTATTTTTATTTTTATTTATTTATTTATTTGAGATGGAGTCTTGCTCTGTCGCCCAGCCTGGAGTGCAGTGACGTGATCTCGGCTCACTGCAAGCTCCGCCTCCCTGGGTCAAGCCATTCTCCTGCCTCAGCCTCCCTAGTAGCTGGGACTACAGGCACCCGCCACCATGCCCAGCTAATTTTTTTGTATTTTTAGTAGAGACAGGGTTTCGCCGTGTTAGCCAGGATGATCTTGATCTCCTGACCTCGTGATCCGCCCACCTCGGCCTCCCAAAGTGCTGGGATTACAGGCGTGAGCCACCGCACCCGGCTGTTTTTATTTTTTTGAGACAGGGACTCACTCTGTCACCTGGGTTGCAGTGTAGTGGTACCCCATAGCTCACTGCAGCCTCAAACTCCTGAGCTCAAGTGATCCTCCCGCCTCATCCTCCCAAGTAATTGTGACTACAGGCACACCCCACCATGCCCACCTGCTTTATTTATTTATTTACTTATTTTTGTAGAGATGAGGGTTCCCTATGTTGTCCAGGCTGGTCTCGAACTCCTGAGCTCAAGGGATCCTTTTGCCTTGGCCTCCCAAAGTGCTGAGATTACAGGCATGAGCTACCATACCCAGCTAGGAATCATTTTTAAAGCCCCTAGGATATATGTGTGATTTTAAAGCTCCTGGAGTGTGGCCAGGCGTGGTGGCTCACACCTGTAATCCCAGCACTTTGGGAGGCTGAGGCGGGCAAATCACTTGAGGTCAGGAATTTGAGACCAGCCTGGGCAACATGATGAAACACCATCTCTACTAAAAATACACAAATTAGGCCGCGCGTGGTGGCTTACACCTGTAATCCCAGCACTTTGGGAGGCTGAGGTGGGCAGATCACTTGAGGTCAGGAATTTGAGACCAGCCTGGGCAACATGATGAAACACCATCTCTACTAAAAATACACAAATTAGCTGGGCATGGTGGTGGGCACTTGTAACCCCAGCTACTTGGGAGGCTAAGGCAGGATAATCTCTTAAACCCGGGAGGCAGAGGTTGCAGTGAGCCAAGATCGTGCCACTGCACACCAGCCTGGGCGACAGAGCAACAGTCTATCTCAGGAAAAAAAAAAAAAAGTTTGGCGCGGTGGCTCACGCCTGTAATCCCAGCACTTTGGGAGGCTAAGGCAGGCAGATCACGAGGTCAGGAGATTGAGACCATCCTCACCAACATGGTGAAACCCTGTCTCTACTAAAAATCCAAAAATTTATCTGGGCATGGTGATGTGCACCTGTAGTCCCAGCTACTTGGGAGGCTGAGGCAGGGGAATCGCTTGAACCTGGGAGGCGGAGGTTACAGTGAGCCGAGATAGCGCCACTACACTCCAGCCTGGCGACAGAGCAAGACTCTGTCTCAAAAAAGAAAAAAAAAAAGCTCCTGGAATATGATCTTGGGGTTGTGTGGTCAGAAAAACATGTACCCTTAGTAAAGGTGTATTGAGCTTGAGGATCCTTGGTTGGTGGGGACGTTGTAACATTAGGATTGCCTTCCTGCCCTCAGTGAAAACCTACATGGGGTGTCACATGGCCGCATGCTCCTGTGCTGGCAGTGGTGTGAACAGAGGTCTGGGGACACACAGTAGAGGGTATGTGGGGAAGGGGTAAAAAGAGGCAGCAGCCCATCAGGACCCAAAGGGTTTTCTGCAGGTGACTCCCTCCAGGCTCTTGTCCAGTTGTGCTGGGCTATTGTGACAGCAGAAGGTGAAGCCATGAGTCCACAAAAGGGGTGGCTCCCGAGCAGCCAGGGTGTGGAGCATGAGGCTTGCCAGAGAAGACTAGAGCTCCAGTTAAGGCAGAATTTTAGATTGACAAGGAATGCTTTTTTAGTATAAGCAAATGCCACATTTTGTGTCAGTATTTACTAGAAACTTAGTCATTTATCTGAAGTTGAAATGTAACTGGGCATTGTTTTTTTTTTTTTGAGACGGAGTCTCACTCTGTCACCCAGGCTTGAGTGCAGTGGTGCCATCTCGGCTCACTGCAACCTCTGCCTCCCGAGGTCAAGTGATTCTCCTACCTCAGCCTCCCAAGTAGCTGGGACTACAGGCACGCACCAGCATGCCTGGCTAATTTTTGTATTTTTAGTAGAAACGGGGTTTCACCAAGCTGGCCAGGCAGGTCTTGAACTCCTGACCTCGTGATCTGCCCTCTTTAGCCTCCCAGAGTGCTAGGATTACAGGCATGAGCCGCCATGCCTGGCATTTTTTTTTTTTTTTTTTTTTTTTGAGACGGAGTCTCGCTCTGTCACCCAGGCTGGAGTGCAGTGGCCAGATCTCAGCTCACTGCAAGCTCCGCCTCCCGAGTTCACGCCATTCTCCTGCCTCAGCCTCCCGAGTAGCTGGGACTACAGGCGCCCGCCACCTCGCCCGGCTAGTTTTTTGTATTTTTTAGTAGAGACGGGGTTTCACCGTGTTAGCCAGGATAGTCTCGATCTCCTGACCTCGTGATCCACCCGTCTCAGCCTCCCAAAGTGCTGGGATTACAGGCTTGAGCCACTGCGCCGGGCCTTTTTTTTTTTTTTTTTTTTTCTAAGACAGAGTCTCACTCTGTCGCCCAGGCTGGAGTGCAGTGGCGCGGTCTTGGCTCACTACAAGCTCCGCCTCCCGGGTTCACACCATTCTCTTACCTCAGCCTCCCGATTAGCTGGGACTATAGGCACCCACCACCACGTCCAGCTAATTTTTTTTGTTATATTTAGTAGAGATGGGGTTTCGTTTCACTGCGGTAGCCAGGATGGGCTCCATCTCCTGACCTCATGATCCGCTAATCTCGGCCTCCCAAAGTGCTGGGATTACAGGCGTGAGCCACCACGCCCAGCTTTTTCTTTTTTTTTTTGAGACAGAGTTTCGCTCTGTCACTCAGGCTGCAGTGCAGTGCACGCTGCCTCAGCCTCCCAAGTAGCTGGGATTAATGGCCCACGCCACCACGCCCAGCTAAATTTTTTGTATTTTTAGTAGAGACAGGGTTTCATCATGTTGGTCAGGCTGGTCTCAAACTCCTGACCTCAAGTGATCTGCCTGCCTCGGCCTCCCAAAGCTCTGGGATTCCAGGTGTGAGCTACTGCGCCCGGCCTGGGCGTTGAATATTCTTATTTCCTAAGTCTGGCAGCCCCACACAGAGTAAGTAATGGGGGTTCCATATCCTTGTAGCAAAGCCCTGGGCGGAGTCAGGAGACGTTGTGACGCCAGTCGTGGTCACACTTTCCTTGCTAAATAGAGGTTAGACCCCCCCCCCGTCCCATGGTTTCTCAGGTTCCTTTTCAGCTTGAAAATTGTATTCCTTTTTAGAAATCAACGTAAAATAATTATGTCCTTATATGTGGCTTTTTAAAAATTTGACACAGAGTGACACTCAGTCGCCCAGGCTGGAGGGCGTTGGTGCGATCTTGGCTCACTGCGACTTCCATCGCCCAGGTTCAAGTGATTCTTGTGCCTCAGGCTCCCAAGTAGCTGGGATTATAGGTGTGTGCCACCAGGCCCAGCTAACTTTTGTATTTTTAGTAGAGACGGGGTTTTGCCATGTTGGCTAAGCCAGTCTCGAACTCTTGGCCTCAAGTGATCTGCCCGCCTTGGCCTCCCAAAGTGCTGGGATTACAGGCATGAACCACCACGCCTGGCCTCAATATAGTGGCTTTGAAGTGCTAAGGACTAAGATAGCGTTTTGTCAGGAAGAGGGAAGAGGCCAGTGGTGGGTGAAGCATGCTGTGGGAGAGCTCGTCACCCGGTTGAGGTTGTGGGAGCTGCAGCGTGGAAACTGGAAAGTGGGCTGGGGATCATCTTTTTCTGGGTCAGAGGTCAGCCAGCTTTTCTGTAGTGTGCCACAGACCATCCCTTAGCCCTCGTGGGTCACAGCCTCTGTTGCATATTGCCTTTTGTTGTAGTTTTTCACGACCTTTTAGAAACATAAAAAGCATTCTTAGCCCGTGGGCTGGACAAAAAAAGGCCATGACGGGCTGGATGGATTTGGCCAGCAGGCCCTGGCTTGCCAAGCCCTGTTTTAGACAAGGAGCAGCTTGTGTGCCTGGAACCATCATGAGCACAGGGGAGGAGCAGAGGACGTGGAGGCGTGGGCTGGAAGCCAGGTCCCAGAGCGCTGAGAAAGACAGAGGGTTGTTGCCATTGCAAACAGAGCAACTGAAATCTGACACAGTCCAGTTCCAGAAAGCCCTGAAGTGCTGGTGGACGCTGCGGGGTGCTCTGCTCTAGGGTTACAGGGGTAAGGATGCAGTCTGGTGTGGGAAGTCGACTCACCTGTTTGAAGATGAGATTAAGAAAAGCAGATTTTCAGGATGTGTGAGTTGAAGGGGCAGGACGCAGAAGTAGAGGCCTCGGCCCCCGCAGGAGACCCCTCGGTCTCCGTCTCCTGATAGACCCAGCCAGATTGGAATGAGGGGAGACATTCCAGCCTTTCTGAACAGTGGGGAGATTTAAAAAGCTGCTTGGCTTTTATTTTGAACTGTTTTTTGTTTTCCCCGATTCAGAATACAGAATACTTTTATGGATTTGTTTTTATTACTTTAATTCTGAAACAATATAATTTTTTTTTTGAGACAGGGTCTTACTCTGTCACCCAGGCTGAGTGCAGTGGTGTGATCTTGGCTCACCTCAGCCTCAACCTCCTAGGCTCAAATGATCCTCCCACCTTAGCCTCCCAAGTAGCTGGGACCACAGGCACACGTGTTGTGCTATACAAATCCTGAAGACAAGGATGCTGTTGCTGGTGATGCTAGGGATTCCCAAGATCCCAGACTTAACGGCAGGTTGTCCCTGTCTGCTGCCTTGCCAGGGTGCCAGGAAGGCGCTTCTGTGGAAGCTGAGGTCTGGCCACCCAGGGCGCTGCACTGGGTGCTGATTCTTGTTTCTGCTGCTGCCTTGGTGCTTAGCTTTTGAAACAATGAAATAAATTAGAACCGATGTGAAAATCGATTGGGGAATAAATTTAATGTGGAAATAAACAGCGCAACTTATTCATAATAGTTTACTTGATAAATACTTGCGATGAGGACAAAACAAAGCACTAGAAGGAGAGGCGAGTTGTAGACCTGGGCGGCAGGAGTTTTTTGTTTGTTTTCAGAGATGGGGTCTTGCTCTGTTGCTCAGGCTGAAGTACAGTGGCACAATCACAGCTCACTATAGCCTTGACCTCCTGGACTCAAGCAATCCTCCTGCCTCAGCCTCCCCAGTAGCTGGGACTACAGGCACATGCTGCCATGCCTGGCTAATTTATTTATTTATGTTTTTTTTTTTTTTTTTTTTTTTTTTGAGACAGAGTCTCGCTCTGTCGCCCGGGCTGGAGTGCAGTGGCCGGATCTCAGCTCACTGCAAGCTCCGCCTCCCGGGTTTACACCATTCTCCTGCCTCAGCCTCCGGAGTAGCTGGGACTACAGGCTCCTGCCACCTCGCCCGGCTAGTTTTTTGTATTTTTTAGTAGAGACGGGGTTTCACCGTGTTAGCCAGGATGGTCTTGATCTCCTGACCTCGTGATCCACCCATCTCGGCCTCCCAAAGTGCTGGGATTACAGGCTTGAGCCACTGCGCCTGGCCTAATTTTTTTTTTTTCTTTTTTTTCTCTTTTTGAGATAGAGTTTCACTCTTGTCGCCCAGTCTGGAATACAATGGCATTTTCTCGGCTCGCTGCAACCTCTGCCTCCTGAGTAGCTGGGACTACAGGCGCCCACCACCACGTGTGGCTGATTTTTATATTTTTAGTAGAGACAGGGTTTCACCATCTTGGCCAGGCTGGTCTCGAATTCCTGACCTCAGGTGATCCACCCGCCTCAGCCTCCCAAAGTGCTGGGATTACAGGCATGAGCCACCGTGCCCAGCCCAAATTTTAAATTTTTTGTAGAGACAGTGGTCTTGGTACATTGCCCAAGGTGGTCTTGTACTTCTGGGCTCAACTGATCCTCCTGCTTTGGCCTCCCAAAGTGCTGGGGTTATGGGCTTGAGCCACCGCACCCAGCCAGAAGTTTTGTCAGTGAGTTTTACAGGCATGAGCCACTGCACCCGGCCTGTTTTGTTTTTCTTTTCTTTTTCTTTCTTTTTTTTTTTTTTTTTGAGACAGTCTTGCCCTGTCACCCAGGCTGGAGTGCAATGGTGAGATCTTGCTCACTGCAACCTCTGCCTCCTGGGTTCAAATGATTCTCCTGCCTCAGCCTCCTGAGTAGCTGGGATTACAGGCGCCCACCACCACACCCAGCTTAGTTTTGTATTTTTAGTAGAGACGGGGTTTCACCATGTTGGCCAGGCTGGTCTTGAACTCCTGACCTCATGATCTGCCCACCTCGGCCTCCCAAAGTGCTAGCATTACAGGTGTGAGCCACTGCGCCTGGCCTGTTTTGTTTTTCAATAGTGAGAGTTCTTGTGTTTGCTTTGCCCCTCCCTTTAGTGGAAAAATGTATAAAATGGAGATATTGACCTCCACATTGGGGTGGTTAAATTATAGTATGTATGCAAAGGAGCTTTGTTAATTTTATGCTTTTTTGAAAGTGAAGAAGAAACTGAATAATCTCTGTGTGTGTGTGTGTGTGTGTATATATATATATTTTTTTTTTTTTTTAAAGCCATGGTTATCTTTCCATATCAGTAAAGGTGAGGCTCCCTGGGACTGCAGAGTTGTCCATCACAGTCCATTACAAGGTGCATTGTTGGGCCAGGTGCAGTGGCTTGTGCCTGAATCCCAGCACTTTGGGAGGCCAAGGCAGGAGGATTGATTGAGCCCAGGAGTTTTGACGCGAGCCTGGGCAATGTGGCCAGACCTCATCTCTTCAAAAAATTCACAAAAAATTAGCCAGGCATGGTGGCATGTGCCTGTAGTCTCAACTACTCAGGAGGCTGGGGTGGGAGGATCACTTTGAGCCTTGGAGGTCAAAGCTGCAATAAGCCATAATCTTGCCAGTGCATTCCATCCTGGGGGACAGAGTGAGACCCTGTCTCTAAAAAAAAAACAAACGTGTACTGTTTTTTTCTTATCAATTTATTATTTTTAAATTTTCTTTCAATTAATAATTTACAAATTATAAATGTATATAAAAATAAATTATAAATTATTATACATGAGGTAAAACTTAGAATATATAAAGTACATATTGAAAAGTAATTTTTTGGCTGGGCGCAGTGGCTCACGCCTGTAATCCCAGCACTTTGGGAGGCCGAGGCAGGTAGATCACCTGAAGTCGGGAGTTCAACACCAGCCTGACCAACATGGAGAAACCTCGTGTCTATTAAAAATACAAAATTAGCCAGGCATGGTGGCGCATGCCTATAATCCCAGCTACTCAGGAGGCTGTGGTGGGAGAATCTCTTGAACCCGGGAGGCGTTGCAGTGAGCTGAGATCACGCCTTTGCACTCCAGCCTGGGCAACAAAAGCAAAAGTCTGTCTCAAAAAAATAAAGTGATTTTTTTAAGGTAACCTCTATCAGAAAACAAATTTAACCCAATAAAGGTTTTTGTTTTTTAATGTAGCAGAGGAGTTAGGGTGAATAAAAAATATGATAGGGAAGGGGGTCCCTGGATTTGCTAATGTGATTGTCATTTGCCCTTTAGGAGAGAGCTCTGTTAGCAGAATGAAAAAATTGGAAGCCAGATTCAGGGAGGGACTGGAAGCAAAAAGAATTTGTTTGAGGAAGAGCCTGATGTTTGCCAGGATCTGTTTAACTGGACATGAAGAGGAAGGCTCTGGACTTCCCTCCAGGAGTTTCAGGAGAAAGCTAGGGCGGTGGTTAAGAGCAGAGCTCTGCCTAGACTAGCTAGATACCTAGACTAGCTGGGTACTTGGAGTGGCTGCTTCAGGCTGGACTTCGGTTTCCTCATCTGTATAGTAGAGAGATGGGAGCACCCACTGCAGGGTCACTGAGCATAAATCAGTCAATGGAGTGAAGCCGGTAGAATGGTGCTGGGTGCATACCAAGCACTCCGTCCATGTTTTCTGTTATTCGATGATTAGGAGGCAGCTGAAACTAGAGGAGTTGATCTGAAGCAGGATGTTTGTCCCAGGTAGCTGGGAATCTGCCCCAGCCCAGTGCCCAGTTGATTTAGGTGCCCTATCAGTGTTCCCTGATTGTTTTTTCCTTTGTCTTCTTATCTACAGGATGTGACTGGGAAGCTCTGGTTTCAGTGTCCTGTGTCTATTCTTTATTTCCAGGCAAAGGAAACCAACAATAAGAAGAAAGAATTTGAGGAAACTGCAAAGAAAGTGCGCTGTGCCATCGAGCAGCTGGCTGCCACGGACTGAGGCCTCTGGCTGGAGCTGCCTGGTCCCAGAGTGGTTGCACCACTTCCAGGGTTTATTCCCTGGTGCCACCAGCCTTCCTGTGGGACCCTTAGCAATGCCTTGGGAAAGGAGAAGATCAATATTTTACAATTAGATATTTCAGCTGTATCTTGTTTTGTCTTGAAAGTGGCACCAGAGGTGCTTCTACCTGTGCAGCGGGTGCTGCTGATAACAGTGACTGCCTCTCTCTCTCTCTTTTTTTTTTTTTTGGCTCATTTTTGTCTTCTTGATTCCCGGACTTACCAGGTGAGAAGTTGGGGAGGAAGAAGGCGGTGTCCGTTTTGCTAGAGCTGATGGCTTTGTTCACTTGGGCAGAGCCTTCCACAGTGAATGTGTCTGGACCTCATGTTGTTGAGGCTGTCACACAGTCCTGAGTGTGGACTTGGCAGGTGCCTGTTGAATCTGAGCTGCAGATTCCTCATCTGTCACGCCTGTGCTGCCTCAGAGGCCACTTTTTTTTTTTTTTTTGGTAGATGCATGACTTGTGTGTGATGAGGAGGGGAATGGAGACAGAGTCTCCAGCTCCTCTACTGTTTCACAACGTGTCTTTCTTATTTTGTTTGAATTGTTAATTCACAGAATAGCACAAACTACAATTAAAACTAAGCACAAAGCCATTCTAAGTCATTGGGGAAACGGGGTGAACTTCAGGTGGACTTGGAGACAGAATAGAGTGATAGGAAGCGTCTGGCAGATACTCCTTTTGCCACTGCTGTGTGATTAGACAGGCCCAGTGAGCTGCAGGGCACATGCTGGCTGCTCCTCCCTGAGAAAAAGGCAGTGGCCTGAATCCTTTTTAAATGACTTGGCTCGATGCTGTGTGGGACTGGCTGGGCTGCTGCAGGCCGTGTGTCTGTCAGCCCGACCTTCACATCTGTCACGTTCTCCACACGGGGGGGGGATGCAGTCCGCCCAGGTCCCCGCTTTCTTTGGCAGCAGCAGCTCCCGCAGGGCTGAAGTCTGGCATAAGATGATGGATTGGATTCGCCCTCCTCCCTGTCACAGAGCTGCAGGGTGGATTGTTACAGCTTCGTTGGAAACCTCTGGAGGTCATCTCGGCTGTTCTGAGAAATAAAAAGCCTGTCATTTCAAACACTGCTGTGGACCCTACTGGGTTTTTAAAATATTGTCAGTTTTTCATCGTCGTCCCTAGCCTGCCAACAGCCATCTGCCCAGATAGCCGCAGTGAGGACGAGCATCCTAGCAGCGACGCAGTTGTCTGGGCGCTCACCAGAGCCACGAACCCCAGACCTGTTTGTATCATCCCGGCTCCTTCTGGGTAGAAACAACTGAAAATGCACTTCAGACCCACTTATTTCTGCCACATCTGAGTCGGCCTCAGACTTTTCCTCTAAACTTGGAGAATATCACAGTGGTTTTTGTTAGCAGAAAATGCACTCCAGCCTCTACTCATCTAAGCTGCTTATTTTTGATATTTGTACCAGTCTATAAATGGATGCTTCACTTTAATAACTTGCTTATAAATTGACTTTGTAGAGAAGCTGGAAAAAATGGTTTTGTCTTCAGCTCCTTTGCACGCCAGGCGGTGATGTGGATCTCGGCTTCTGTCAGCCTGTGCTGGGGGCGGGGCTGAGCGGGAGCCACCCCTCTCAGCCCGCCTGCTATGGCTTTTCCTTAAAGGCCATTCTTAAAACCAGACCCTCATGGCTGCCAGCACCTGAAAGCTTCCTCAACATCTGTTAATAAAGCCGTAGGCCCTTGTCTGAGGGCAACCACTCAGACTTTCTTTCAGATTCGTGTCCATGTGTCCGTTTTCCAGGTTCTCTAAGTCAGAGTGGAGTGTGGGAAGGGTTGTGAATGGAGGCTTCTGGGCTGTGGGTGAAGTTCCAATGGCAAGTTAGAGCCCTTCGGGGCAACTGCCACCCTGGAAGGTAGAGACAGCAGTGCCTGCCACCAGAAGAGACCAGCAAGCCAAACTGGAGCCCCCACTGCAGGCTGTTGCCATGTGGAAAGAATAACACAATTGCCAATAAAGTCTAATGTGGTTTTATCTACTTTTTTTTTTCCCCTGGAGACAAGGCCTTGCCCTCCCAGGCTGGAATGCAGTGGAATGAACAAAGCTCACCACAACCTCAAATTGTTGCGTTCAGGTGAACCTCCCACCTCAGCCTCCCAAATAGCTGGGACTACAGGTTCAGGCCGTCACACCCGGCTAATCGAAAAATTTTGTTTTGTTTAGATGGGATCTCACTTTGTTGCCCAGGCTGGTCTCAAACTCCTGGGCTCAAGTGATTGTCCTGCTTCAGCAATGGGATTGTTGGTATTATGGCCGGGAGCCACTGTGCCTGGCCTAGCTACCATTTTTTTTTTTTTTTTGAGACGGAGTCTTTCTCTGTCGCCCAGCCTGGGGTGCAGTGGCTGGATCTCAGCTCACTGCAAGCTCCAACTCCCAGGTTTATGCCATTCTCCTGCCTCAGCCTCCCAAGTAGCTGGGACTACAGGCGCCCGCCACCTCGCTGGCTAGTTTTTTGTATTTTTTAGTAGAGACGGGGTTTCACCATGTCAGCCAGGATGGTCTCGATCTCCTGACCTCGTGATCCGCCCGTCTCGGCCTCCCAAAGTGCTAGGATTACAGGCTCGAGCCACTGCGCCCAGTCATAGCTACCATTTTTTGGCCGGGCGCAGTGGCTCACGCCTGTAATCCCAGCACTTTGGGAGGCCGAGGCGGGCGGATCACAAGGTCAGGAGATCGAGACCACGGTGAAACCCCGTCTCTACTAAAAATACAAAAAATTAGCCGGGCGCGATGGCAGGCGCCTGTAGTCCCAGCTACTCAGGAGGCTGAGGCAGGAGAATGGCGTAAACCCAGGAGGCGGAGCTTGCAGTGAGCCGAGATCCAGCCACTGCACTCCAGCCTGGGCGACAGAGCAAGACTCCGTCTCAAAAAACAAAACAAAAACAACAACAACAACAAAAAAAACCTCCTTCTAGATAACAGTTGCGTTTTTTTTTTTTTTAAGATGGAGTCTTGCTCTGTTGCCCAGGCTGGAGTGCAGTGGTGTGATCTTGGCTCACTGCAACCTCCGTCCCCGAGTTCAAGCGATTCTTCTGCCTCAGGCTCCTGAATAACTGGGATTATAGGCGTGAGCCACCACGCCTGGCTAATTTTTGTATTTTTAGTAGAAACAGGGTTTCACCATGTTGGCCAGGCTGGTATCAAACTCCTGACCTCAAGTGATCCACCTGCCTCGGCCTCCTAAAGTGCTGAGATTACAGGCGTGAGCCACCGCGCCTGGCCTTTTTAAATTTTATTTTATATATATATGTTTTGAGACAGAGTCTCGCTCTGTCATCCAGGTTGGAGTGGAGGGGCACCATCTCAGCTCACTGCAACCTCCGCCTCCTGGGTTCAAGTGATTCTTCTGCCTCAGCCTCCCAAATAGCTGGGACTACAGGCGCACACCACCAGGCCCAGCTAATTCTTGTATTTTTAGTAAAGACGGGGTTTCACCATATTGGTCAGGCTGGTCTTGAATTCCTGACCTCGTGATCAGCCCACCTCGGCCTCCCAAAGTGCTGGGATTATAGGCGTGAGCCACCGCACCCTGCCAAAATCTCCCTCTAGATAACAGCGGTGTTAAACGTTTTTTGTTTGTTTGTTTGTTTGTTTGTTTTTGAGATGGAGTCTTGCTTTGTTGCCCAGGCTGCAGTGCAGTGGTGTGATCTCAGCTCACTGCAACCTCCGCTTCCCGGGTTCAAGCGATTCTTCTGCCTCAGGCTCCTGAGTAGCTGGGATTACAGGCGTGAGCCACCATGCCTGGCTAATTTTTGTATTTTTAGTAGAGAGAGGGTTTCACCATGTTGGCCAGGCTGGTCTCTCAAACTCCTGACTTCAAGTGATCCGCCCACCTTGGCCTCCCAAAGTGCCTGAGCCACTATACCTGGTCTTTTTTTGTTTTTTTTTAAGATAGGGTCTCGCTTTATTGATCACAGCCACAGCTCACTGCAGCCTCAACCTCCTACCTGGGTTCAAGCCATCCTCCCACCTTGGCCTCCCAAGTAGCTGAGACCACAGGTGGCTCATTCCACCACGTCTGGGCCTACGTAAGCTTTATGTGGGCGCAATAACAGATCTTCTCAAACCAGCTCTTAGCTCAAGAGAAGGGGAAGCTGGGTGCAATGGGTCACGCCTATAATTCCAGCACTTTGGGAAGCCAAGGCAGGAAGATCACTTGAACCCTGGAGTTCTAGACCAGCGTGGGCAACACAGGGAGACCCTGTCTCTAAAAAAATAAATAGAAGAGAACGGGAGGACACACGTGGAGCACACAGCCCAAATGGGGCTCCTCTGTTCCCCCCGCACAGTCAATGCGTACCTTTCGCATGCACAAAGGCATTGACCCAAACAAAGCAATATTGATTCTTGTTATATCGCTTTATTGTGGGGTCAGTGTCAGCACCACGAGTTTTCATTACGCACTGTTCTTTCCCCAGCTGTAGTGAGTTTAGGGAGGGAACGAGGCCCCACCCCCCATCCCTATCACCTCTGCCTTCATAGCGGCTGCTACTCTCTGAGCACCTGTTGAGTTCTTTCACTTTCCAGACCTAACAAGCTATCCCCAACCCTAGAGAACAGGGCTGCTGGATGCCACACGGCTCCCAGAGAGGGGCTGTGGTCAGGGAAGCCCCAGCTTCAAAGGGGCTGGAAAACCCCCGGAGCCGCCCACGTGCAGCAAGGTGTGAGGACACCTTGCTTTGGCGCTCAGGTGTGACGACAGCTACAAAATACCTGAGCCATTCTGTCACTCTGTCTGAACTCCCTTTGAAATATTGTTTCAGCCGGGCGCGGTGGCTCACGCCTGTAATCCCAGCACTTTGGGAGGCCGAGGCGGGCGGATCACGAGGTCAGGAGATCGAGACCATCCTGGCTAACACGGTGAAACCCCGTCTCTACTAAAAATAAAAAAAATTAGTCGGGCGAGGTGGTGGGTGCCTGTAGTCCCAGCTACTTGGGAGGCTGAGGCAGGAGAATGGCGTGAACCCGGGAGGCAGAGCTCGCAGTGAGCTGAGATCGTGCCACTGCACTCCAGCCTGGGCGACTGAGTGAGACTCTGCCTCAAAAAAAAAAAAAAAAAAGAAATATTGTTTCAATAACTGCTAGGCTGGTTTTCCCTTCCTGACTATATTGCTCAAACCAACAAGAGCCTAGCGGAGGAAAGCATGGCCAAAACACCCCAAGAAGACAGCCTTGGCTTCACCTCCAAGGGCCACCATCCAGGAGGATGTCCTCAGACCTCTGACCCCCTCTGTTCAGGCCCTGCCCTGCTCTGTGTGGCGACCCAGAGGAAGCCTCCCCTTCGTTTAAAATTTAACCCCAGACCTTACTGATGGCTGCCCAGCCTGTCCCTTCCACCTGCGTGGCTGCCCACGCGGGGTTGCTCATGGGGCTACTCCTGGGTGGGGGAAGGGGGTGCCTCTCTGCGGCTCCTCTGCCTCCCACCCCCACTGGCACTCGACGCCTGTCCTAGAAGATTCTTTCTGCCTGTTTGCTCCGTGAGTGGCTGGCCAGGCAGAGGCCGGCCTTGCTGGAGGGGGCATTTGTAATTATGAGCGAATCCAAAGCAAGGTTTTTTCCTTCCTCAGCCCCCGGCCCAGCCGCGGGGCCCACGCACTACACTTGCCGTCTGGTTGGTCCTCAGGACTGATACAGGACCCCAGGGCCAGCCCGTGCCAGGCTCCTATGCTTCCAGGAGCCCAGGAGCGCGGGTGGGTGGTCCTGCTTCCAGGCCGGCCATCCTCCTGGGGTCTGTCTCTGGCGGACCCTCCCTCCTCCTCCCAAGCCCTGCACAGCCCGGCCAGACAGGCGCGTCCCATTTGGTTGCTGAAGAGCCGGGGTTCAGGGAGATTAAGCAACGTGCCCAGGGCACGTGGGGACGCTGAGATTGAAGCCCAGGTTCCAGGTTCGCCGCGCGGCTCCCGACTTCCTCTCCTTTCTCCCAGGGGCGAGCTCCCTGCGACCCCAGGGGGCCCGCTAGGCCAGTGCGCGGGCAGGAGCGGGGACGTGCCCAGAAGAGCCTCGAGCGCCGCCGCGCCCGCCCCCCGGCTCCAGCGTCCCCCGCCCCCCGGCTCCCGGCTCCGCGCGTCCCCCGCCACCCCCCGGGCCCCGCTACCCCCGTCCCCACCCGCCGGCCGCCCCCATGGCCCGGCTGCGTGTGCTGCTCCTGGCCGCCGCCCTCGGTGAGCTGCTCAGCTTCGCGCTCCTGGCCGCCGCGGTCGCCAGCGACTACTGGTACATCCTAGAGGTGACGGACGCCGGCAATGGCAGCGCCGGGCCCGGGCGCGCAGAGCTGCTCTCCTCGCACTCGGGGCTCTGGCGCGTCTGCGAAGGTAACCGGCCACCCCGCCGGCCCTCCTCCCTCCGCGACCTCTTCCCTCCGACACCCCCCTAACCCCGCCCCGCCCGTGTCACCCCGCCCGTGTCGCCCCGCCAGACCCCCTCCCAGGACCCGTCCCTTGCATCCCGCTCTGCCCCAGGGTGTCTCTCAGCTCCCTCCCCATCACCCTCCGTCACCCCCCAAAACTGACAGTCCAGGGGCTACAGGAGGGAGGGAGCCCTGTTCAGGGCCCCTCACAGCCGGAGGAGGGGGCTGTGGGGCGAGGGTCGGGGAGGGAAGCCTCCAGGTGTGTAGCTGGGGGGCCTCATCCAAGTCACCAGGGGTTGTTTCTTGATCGCCCTCCCCGGGGTTTGGGCCTTGCAGCCCCTTGTCCCCCTCCCTGTCAGGCACCGTCAGAGCTGCTCACCCCACACATACTGATGCCGCGGGGACAGGGGTTCCAAATGTGTGCAGAGGCTTCAGAGCACAGGGAGAGAGGAGGCTGCAGGGTCCACAGGGCCCCCTCCATTCCCCCCAGCTCCCTCCTCAGGAGCTGCGGCGCCTGGGGAGCTTCCCCTGCACAGGGGGCTGGCATGGCAAGGAGGTCTGAGTGTGAGTGAGTGTGTGTGCGCATCTGAATATGTGTGCATGTGCTGAATATAACATGTGTGAGCACCTGGCTGTGTATGTAAATATGAATGTGAGTGTGTGTAGTTGTGTGTGCATGTTAGTGTGCATGTATGTGCATGTGAGAGTGTGTGGGCATGTATGAGTGAGTGCATGTGTGGGTGGTACGCGTGTGCTGGTGGCTTCCTCAGTGCACTGGGAGGAGTTATATCCCGGCCCGCGGGATAGTCGAAGCAGGCCTGGAGGAGGGGGTGGGATTGGGGAACAAGAGATACGAGAAATGGAGCAGACAGTGCTCTGATCAGTTCGTTTAATGGGTAATGCAGTGCTTATTACACTGGGGGAAGGGTTGGCAAGGCGAAAATGATCTCATAGTGGAGGTGGCCAGTAGGTATTGTTTCTCTGGTGGAACGTCATGTTGCACTGCGCTGTCAGGTAGTATTTCACGGGCGGGAAAAATGGTGAAGAAGCAGAAGAGCGCATTTTATGAGGTATTAATACAGGAAAAGGTAAATCTAGGGAGGTAGAAGGTGATGAATAGGCTAGGCGTTTTAATCGTCAGTTATTATTCGCTATGGCCGGGGCGTGCAGCTCGGACAGAGTTAGGAGCCGTGTGCTCATCCATCCGATAGACTGTGCCTAACTGTGCTACAAAGACCTTCTGACATGCACCTGTGTGCAGGTGTGCACACGCATGTGCCTATGCAGGTGGCTCTGCACGTGTGTGAGAACCAGAGTATGTATGCCCACATGACACGAGTCAGGAAGATTCTGGAGCAAGGCTTCCCAGGAACCCGTTTTGCACACACCTTTTTCCTGACCCAAAGGAAAGCCTGAGTTCCACACACAAACGCACTACAAGGACCCCTGCCTGACGGACTCTGAGGGAGCCTCCATGGAGCGTTTGAAATTTTAAAAATGCATCTGTGCAGGCATAACTTGCATGTGAAAATAAGGCAAAAGGTCTTGGGCCTTTCATCCCACTTGGAGTCCCAGCCCCGAGTTTCAGCATGAGAGAGAAGGTGGCAGGGCCCTGTGGTGCCGGGGGGTCCCCTGGGCTCGGGTAGGCTGCTGGGTGCCTCACAGCATCCAGGCCCCAGGCTTCGAGGCCTCTGTTTCCCAGGGCAGAACAGCTGCATCCCGCTGGTCGACCCTTTCGCCAGTGAGAGCCTGGACGTCTCCACCTCGGTGCAGCACCTCGTCTGTGAGTCGTGGGTGGGGCTGCCTCGTCCTTTCCAAATATTCAGGCAAGGCTGGATCCCAGCCATCCCCATCCCCATCCCGCAGCACTGCTTCCACTGCCCCTGCATCTCCAAGAGGACGTTTCCACGCAGACCTGTCCCAGTGCTGTGCTACTGTGCCTAACCACAGGTGCCCGGCTCCCAGCCTGTCCTCTTTTCCCCTGTCTCAGTTTCCCTCTCAGTGGCGAAGGCTCATTCTTTGTTGTTGGGGAAGTCAGGCAGCTCCAAGCGTGGCTGGATCCTGTGGGCACTGCAGACTCCTGGCTCCCCATTTAGGACTCGGTTCTTCCAGATGGCCTGCTGTCTACCTGACTGGCACCTTCCCCCTGGTGGGTCGGGGGACATGCGAGGCCTGGGATGGGGGTTGGGAGGGTTCTGGGGACGCCTCCCTCTCCCGGCCTTAGGAAGCCCCTGCCAGGGCAAGAGGGGGCCACTGGGAAGGTCCAGTGGTTTTCACCGAGATGGGCGTCAGCCGCTTTTCCTGAGAAGATGAAGCACCATGTCACTGTCCTCTGGCAGACAAGCGCTGAAGGGCCTACCTGGACCAGAATTCTCACCTGAGCCCCCTCTCCTGCAGTGCTGCACCGCGCAGTCATGGTGGTCCTGCCCCTGAGCCTGGTCCTTCTCGTATGCGGCTGGATCTGCGGCCTGCTCAGCTCCCTGGCCCAGAGCGCACCTCTGCTGCTCTTCACCGGCTGCTACTTCCTGCTGGGGGGTGAGTCTGGGGCCCTGGGAGAGTGGCTCCAAAGACGGGAGCTGGGCCACAGGTTCCGGGAGTGGCGTGCTGCCTCTACTGTTGCCCTCGTCCCCTGCTTCCCTCTGGGCAGGTGCTGAGCCTGGTGATGGAGCCGTGGCAGGCAGCTCCCTGTGGTTCCAGAAGGTACCCATGTGTATTTGTTCTCACATCGCTATAAAGAAATGCCTGAGACTGAGTAATTTATAAAGAAAAGAGGTTTAGGCTGGGCGCGGTGGCTCATGCCTGTAATCCCAGAACTTTGGGAGGCTGAGGTGGGTAGATCATCTGACGTCAGGAGTTCAAGACCAGCCTGACCAACATGGTGAAACCCCATCTTTACTAAAAATACAAAAATTAGCTAGGCTTATAAAGAAAAGAGGTTTAATCGGCTCATGGTTCTGCACACTGTAGAGGAAGCATGATGCTGGCATCTGCTTTGCTTCTGGGGAGGCTTCAGGAAAATGACAATCACGGGCAGAAGGCCAAGTCAGGGAGCCAGCATTTCACATGGCTGGGACAGGAGGAAGAGAGTAGGGAGGTGCTACACACTTTTTTTTTTCTTTTTTTTGAGATGGAGTTTTGCTCTTGTTGCCCAGGCTGGAGTGCAATCGCATGATCTCAGCTCACTGCAACCTCCGCATCCCGGGTTCAAGCGATTCTCCTGCCTCAGCCTCCTGAGTAGCTGGGATTACAGGCATGTGCCACCACACCCAGCTAATTTTGTATTTTGGGTAGAGACAGGGTCTCTCCATGTTGGTCAGGCTGATCTCAAACTCCTGACCTCAGATAATCCACCTGCCTCAGCCTCCCTAAGTGCCGGGATTACAGGTGTGAGCCACTGCGCCCAGCTGGGTGCTACATACTGATCTGCTACAACCAGATCTCAGCACTCACTCACTATCCAGAGAATAGCACCAAGGGAAATGTTGCTAACCCATTCATGAGAAGCCACAGCCATGATCCAGTCACCTCCCTCCAGGCCCCACCTCCAATACTGGGGATTACCATTTCACATGAGATTCGGGCTGGGACGCCAAACCATAGCACTGGGATAGGAGCAGGGCTTCTGGCTGTGGGTCAGAGCCTCGGACAGGGAGGAGCACCAGGGTCCAAGCTTCTTGATGGCGGGGGTGGGGGGATGAGGGCCTCCAGGGCAACCCCAGGACCTGCTTTGCTGGGTCAGATCATGCTGGGGGACCTGGGGCCAGCCCCTTACCACACCTTCTCCTTCCCACACTGTCCTGGTGGGAGAAGCAAGGGCTCAGGGGTTTGGCAGAGACGAGGCAGGGCCAGGCATGAAGGCAGGGGCAACGGGGCACCAGAGGCCTCAGCTCTGACCCCAGCACAAGCTGAGACTGTAACCTGTAACTACCCATCCGCTGACATGGCTCCAGCTCTGACTACATGCCGAGTGCTGGCCAGGTGCTCCTCCGAAGCTCCTCAGTCCCAGCTGCAGATGAGAAATCTGAGGCCTGGAGAGGGACGAGGGCCTGGGCTCCAATCCCGCTGTGCTGTCTCCTCAGTTTCCACCGACTGCCCAGCGCTAGCTGTTGTGGAAGGTAGACTGGGGGCTCCAGACGGTCTGTCCTCAGCCGCCCCTGTCAACCAAGGCCAGGCCTGGTGTCTCAGGCCAGCTCCACTGTCAAGGCCGTGGCCACAAGGAGCGGACCGTCCAGGGCTGGGGGCATCCTCCCTGCTTCTCTGGGAGGCCTCTGCCACTGAGGAGGCCCGGCTGGGTGCAGAGATTGGGGAAGCCAGCAGCCCTGGCATTGATCACAGGCCACATGAGAGCAACATTGAAGTCAAGGTCTCCTCTAGACGATGAAATCAGGAAGAATCCGAATGACCGGACCCTGGAGCCCATCTGTGAGTGTTCAAAATCCAATCACGAGGACCTTCGGGGCCAGCGACAGGAGTAATCGGATTGGGATTGTAACCGGGAGACAGTGACGGGAATGATTGGGTCGGGATTGTAACCGGAAGAACTTACAGGGACACGGACCCTCTGCATTGTGCCTGGGAGCGAAGGCACCGGCTAGGAGGCGGAGGGGCTGGAGGTAGCTGGTGGATGGGTAGGGGTTCCACTGCGACTCCAGCCTCCCCAGGCAGAGGGGGCCTCCACTCCTAGAATGAGGGTCAGCTGTGGGCCGAAGCACAGAGGGGTCTCAGGATGTCACACCAAGGGCACCTGCCTAGGGTCAGCTCAGCCCTCACCCCTCACTAGCACTGCAAGGAGCGGGAGGGAGATGGAGCACCCCAGACGGATTGGGTGCCCTTCCCTGAGACAGGATCATGGGGGGCCTGGAGGACCGACAGGGCCTGTGGTGACACAGTCCTCTAGAGTTTCCCAGCTTGAGGCTGCAGGTGCCAGCTGCGGAGGCCTCCTTTAGGAGGCGGGAGGCTGACTGGGAGGTCTGCCAGGAGCTGAGCCCAGGCCCCCTCACCAGGGAGTCGGGAGGCACTTCAGGTCCCAGCGTGGAAACTTACTCTTCGCCTTCATTTTGGGAGAAAGGCCGTGTCCTCGGCCAGTCTACAGGAGGCAGCTGGTGTTTGGAGAGGGCTCAGCTGGTGGGGCGGCCTGCCAGGAAGTGGGGCCTTGGGCTGCAGCTGAGGCCAGTGCCGCAGGCAGAGACAGGCACCTCCTGCCGCGCAGTCAACCCCCGCTGCTGGGGGCTGGCCCCCGCCCCTGCTTCTCCCAGGGCCTGCTTCATTCTATTTGGCTTCACATTCCTCCCCAAAGTAAATCCATCATTTCTGTTGCTACACTGCCCAGCCGGGCAGGCACCTATATGTCCTCCCTCCCCCGGCCTCCCCATGCCGTCTTCTTCCCACTCTTCCCAGGGGAATCACAGAAGCCCAGGCTGGGCTGTGCCCCTTCACTGGGCACCAGTGAGATCCAGACCTGGCCCTGAACGTCAGCTTGGGTCAGTGGCCTTCTTTTGGCTGGGCAGTGCCCAGAGGGGACCCTGTGCACCCAGGAAGTGCCTGTGGGGAAATCAGGGCCACCTGCCCCCCTGGCTAACATTCCCTACAGTCGGCACCCAGGACAGGCTTTCTCATCAGCCTGAAGCTGTGGGAAGGGGGTGGCACTCCCGGCTGGCTCCTCCAAGCCCAGCGGACAGGAAAACACCCTGGGGGCATGGGCTGAGTCCCCTGCCCAGCTCTTCGCTGGACCCTGAACTGCTGGATGAAACCTGGTGCCTGCCACCCTGTGCAAAGCTCGGCTTCATTCCTTTGACAACAGCTTTGACCACGTGGAGAGTGGGAGGGAGGAGCGAGGAGGGCCCAGGGCAGGCCTCCTCCCCTGAGGAAGGGCCCGAAACTCAGAGCTGGGAGGACAGGGGGGCTCTGGAAGGAGAGTCGGAGGGGGATGTTAGCCCCAGAGGTAGGGAGGGCGAAGGTGTGAGGAAGAGGAGGCGGGGGTGCAGGGCAGGGACTCACTCTGCTCAGAGCACTGGGCAACCCTGCTGCCAGCAGAGGCCATGGCTGTCTGTGTGTGAATGTGTGCGAATGTGTACGTGTACATGTGTGTGCATGTGCGTGTGTGTATGGGCGTGTGTGTGTGTATGGGCGTGTGTGTGCTGGGGGCCATGGAGGGTACAGGGTGTGTGGGGGCAGTTATGTGAGTGGGAACCATGTTGAGGGGCAGGTGGCACTGTTTGCAGGAGACTTTGTGGGATGAGGTCTCTGGGGTTTGAGGACTGAATTGCAGCCTCTTAAAGCTCCACTCCCCCAAATGCAGTTGACTACCTTGGGGTCCTGTCTGACCCCAAGCAGGAGTTGGTGTCTGGGGGCCAGGTTGATAGCCAGGCAAGGCTAACCGGGACAGGAAGGGTGGTGTGCTGCCTGCAGCTCTGCCTGAATGCCAGCGGGGCGGGGATGCTGAGGCGGTATCTGCAGGACCACCTGGGCCTGGGCCCGCTGGAGCAGACACGGAGCAGCTGCCCGCCCCATCTCTCCCCCAGGTGTCCTGACCCTGGCGGGGGTCAGCATCTACATCAGCTACTCGCACCTGGCCTTCGCGGAGACGGCGCGGCAGTACGGCCCACAGCACGTGCAGGGCGTCCGCGTCAGCTTCGGCTGGTCCATGGCCCTGGCCTGGGGCTCCTGTGCCTCAGAGGCATTCAGCGGAGCCCTCCTGCTCTCGGCAGCCCGGACCCTCAGCCTGAGCCCCCCACTCTGTAGTCATCTGAGCCCCCAGCAGGTGGGAGGGAGGTGAGAGGGGGCTGTGTTTCCCTTTGCACCTCCTGGGATTGGCTGTCAGGGCCAGGGCCCCTTGAGAGTCTGGGAATCCCTTCCCTGGGTCTGGCTGGGGTCCTGGCCAGAAAGCAGCCCTGGGGGGTGACAAGGGGTGGGGGACAGAGCCAAGAATCCAGCTCAGGTTTCTCCATAGATATTTGGGGCGGCTCCCCTGCCCCGGCAGGCTCGTTAGGGACTAACTGGTTCAACTGCCTCTTAAAGATGAGAAGAGCCAGTCCAGAAAGAGGAAGTGGCCCAGGTGACACAGGCTGAGTGGCAGAGTTGGGTGGGGGCCTCTCAAGGGTGTGGCCTGAACTCGCCCCTCCCCCAGCAGGCTCATGAGCCACTGCTGCCCCCCCGTTCCTAAGGACCTGGGAGAAAAGTAGGAGTCTGTTAAATGCGGTGGGGCTGGGCTCCATGCTGCTCTCCAGTCCCACAGTGGCCCTACTCAATGGCTACCCTTTATCCATTTTACAGAGGGGGAGACTGAGGCCCAGAGTGGCAGAGGGACCCACCCAGATCACCCGGTACCAGAGAAATGCCATTTCAGGCCAAGGCTTCCCTGGCCTCGTTCTGTCCACTCTCCCCGGAGGGCCGGCTTAGTGGAGAAGAGGCTGAGGAGAGGGCCCGAGAGTCCCCTCCGACTTGCAGGTGTGGGGGGCGAGGAGCTGAGCCAGCCAGATGTGCCCCTCCGTCCGCTCCCTTGTTTTCAAGCCTGCTAGGTATTTTTCACTGAACACTTCTGGGGAGAGCAGGCGCCCAGGTCTCTGTCCTTGTCCTGGCACAGGCTCTGCTGCTTCCGGCCCCCGACCCTTCCCCTCTGCAGCAACCCGGGGGAGGTATGCCATTGTGAGTGCCCTGGTGGGCACACTGAGCTGGCAGAGATGGAAGTCCCAGAAGGGTGGCATGGGGGTGTCATGCCATGGTGGAGGAGTTTGGGGCCACTCCTTGCTTGCCTCAAAGGGGGCCTGGCTGAGGGGGCTTCTTGACCACAGGGACCCGGGCTGCCTGGGGTGGTGCAGGGCTAGGCCTGGAGTTTGGGATGCAGACTTGTTAAACAGAGGGCAGAACCCCAGGTTGGGAGGGGCTCAGCTTGCAGGCCCAGGCCCACTGCAGGTCCCAGAAAGAGATAGGTGAGAACAGGAATGGCCAGCACACACCTGGGTCCCCTCGGACCACAAAAGCTGGGGCACGCCCACCGTTATGCAGATGGACAGTTGAGGCGGCCGCAGGAGAAGGGTTCCCAGGGCCTGTGCAACATGTGGAAGCAGTAAACAGCCCCGTTTGGGGTTTGGGGGCCCTTCCTGAGTCTTGAGAGGTGTGCTGGGGAAGGTGGCGGCCTCTTGTAGCTTGATCTTCCTCCTCCCTGCCCCACCCCGAGGTCTCCTTATTGATTCAAAGGTTAAGGAAGCTCCTGGGAGCTCCAGGCGGTGGCACAGTTTTGGTGAGGCCCAGTGAGGACCAATCTGGGCGGGGTGAGCCCGGCCTCCTCTTCCTCCTGGCGTTTGAACGTTTACCATTCCATGTGGGAACATCGTGCCTATTTGTTCTTACGTAAATCACTTGTGCTGTGTGCAATATAAGCCTTTTATTTTGCTAGAATTTTTCAAAATGGGTAACACATTCCTGTCTGTCATAAACAGTACAAAGGTGAGCAAACACTGTCACCAGCTGTGCACGTGTCCGTCCATCCAGAGGTGTTCTGAGAGCGTGTGTGCACGTGTGTGTCCACTGTGAAGTCATCTGCAGACACACAAGCCTACTTATTCCAAGGTCAGCACAGGGAGGCCGGGGCCTGGGGCTCCGTGTTGGAAACGAGGGCTGGCTTTGTGGGCATGTCCTCTCAGCTTGGGGGGAAAGGTGTGGGGGACTCCTTCTCTCCTCCTCCTGGCCCCCCGCCTCTGCTGAGGAGGCTTCTCCCGGGGGTTTGCTGGGAAGCCAGGGGTGTGAACCTAACTTCAGGCTTCTCACGGCAGATGGGCTTGGTCTCTGGGGATAGGACACTGGGGAAGACACACCGGGGAGGGGCTGCTGGGACCAGCAGAGTTCCCGGAGAGTGTGTGTGTCGGGGGGGATGTGCTGCTTGCACCTTCCCTTCCAGAACAGACCTGCCCACCTTGCCTCCACCTGTTCTAGGGGGTGTGGAATTCAGCCAGGCCAGGTAACTTCTTCACTCTCTCATTGGCCAGCCACAGCCCTCACCCTCTGATTGGCCAACCCTCACCCTGTAGTTGGCCAGTGGACTCCCTCATGCTCTGATTGGCTAGTCAACTCCTTCACTCTGATTGGCCAGCCACATCCCTCACCCTCTGATTAGCTAGTTGACGCCACTCTGGCCAGTTAATGCACCACACTCTGTGATTGGCCAGTGTTCCTCCCCCTCTGATTGGCCAGTTAACTCCTCACTCACTGGCTAGTCTCCACGGTGATTGGCCCAAGGGTTCTGTCTGTGTTCATGGTTCTCTGAGTGTCAGGCTTTGCAGATGTGATTAAGAGGCGGATGAGTGCCTCCCAGGGAAGAGACAGTGCATGGTTCAAGGTCACCCAGAATAGACAACATAACATCAGGCTCAAATGGTGCTGCATTGTTTACAGCAAGAGGAGAGCGCCTGTGCATCCAATCCCCTTGTAGTGGTGGTTCCCACGGTTGGATCCACTGGCCCAAGTGGGCCTCTTTCTTCGATTTTTCTTAGAACTTTTCAAAATAGGTAACACATGCCTGTGTGTCACAAACAGCACAAAGGCGAGTAAACACTGTCACCAGCTGTGCGCCCGTCTGTCCATCCAGAGGTGTCCTGTGCGTGTGTGTGAGCAAGCGTGTGCGCATGCCGGAAAGCAGCCCTGACTCAGAGGCCCTTCCCCCAGCATCGAAGGTTCTTGCTCCTCTCACCACAGCAAAGCCCTTTCTCCAGGGGTGGCCCAGCTCCGCCAGGTCCTGGGTGTACTTGCATCCCACTCTGGCACGTTTATCTGCACCACCTGGTGGGTGCCCCTGCCAGGGGCCTGACCTCTGTGAGGACAGGGGCCTCTCATGAGCTCAGGCCCTTTGCCCAGCTGGCATTTATAAATGCAGTAGGCAGCCCCCAAAAGAGCCCTCATCTGTCCTTATCTCCTGGTGCTCACCCCTCTGTCGGCCTTACCACACTGAGTCAGAGCTGACTTGGGTGTCAAGTAAGAAGTACCAGCGTGGGAAGAGGTCATAAAACGCAGCTTCTGCCTCGGTCTCAGACCGCTCACCCTAGGGGAAGCAAGTCATCAGACTGCGAAGACACCCAGGAAGCCCTGAGGAGATGTTCACGTGGGCAGCACTGAGGCTTCCGCCACCAGCAGCAGCAGCGCGTCAGCTGTGTGAGCACACCGCCTGCAAGAGGATTATTCAGCTAATGCAGTTCTCACTGATGTCCTGACTACAGCCTCGTGAGAAACTCCAAGCCAGAACTTTCCAGCTGTAAGCCACTCCCAAATTCCGCCTCTCCCCGCTTTCTTTTGAGATAGGGTCTCACTCTGTCACCTAGGCTGGATAGCAATGGCTCCGTCTCCGCTCACTGAGGCATGGCCCTCCTGGGCTCAATCGATCCTCCCACCTTAGCCTCTCAAGTAGCTGGGGCCACAGGTGTGAGCCACCAGGCTTGGTTACTTTCTTTTTTGAGATGGAGTTTTTGCTCTGTCGCCCAAGCTGGAGTGCAGTGGTGCGATCTTGGCTCACTGCAACCTCCGCCTCCCAAGTTCAAGTGATTCTCCTGCCTCAGCCTCCCGGTAGCTGGGATTACAGGCGCACGCCACTGTGCCTGGCTGATTTTTGTATTTTTAGTAGAGATTGGGTTTTACCATGTTGGCCAGGCTGATCTCCAACTCCTGACCTCAGGCGATACCCGCCCCCCGCCACTTCGGCCTCCCAAAGTGCTGGGATTACAGACCAGCCACAACACCCGGCCACCTGGCTACTTTTTGTTTTTATTTACATAGAGATGGAGTTTCACCATGTTGGCCAGGCTGGTCTCAAACTTCTGAGCTCAAGCAGTCCACCTGCCTTGGCCTTCCGAAGTGCTGGGATTGACTATGGGTGTGCATGAGCTGCCACACCTGGCTCACTCTCCAATTCCTACCCTGCAGTGCGATGGGAAATGATTGTTGCTTTAAGGCACTATGTTTTGGGGTCACTTGTGCAGCAATGGATATATAATGCACTTTGGCTGGTGCTTGCCCCAGACAGGTCAGTAAGGGAGACATGGAATTACAGGGGCTTAGAGCTGCTGGCTTTCTTCTTCTTCTTTTTTTTTTTTTTTTTTTTTTTGCTTTGAGACAGAGTCTCCCTCTTGTCGCCCAGGCTGGAGTGCAGTGGTGCGATCTCGGCTCACCGCAACCTCCGCCTCCCAGATTTTAGTGATTCTCCTGCCTCAGCCTCCTGAGTAGCTGGGATTACAGGCACCTGCTACCACGCCCTGCTAATTTTTGTGCTCTTAGTGCAGGTGGGATTTCTCCATGTTGGCCAGGCTGGTCTTGAACTCCTGACCTCAGGTGATCCACCTGCCTCCCAAAGTGTTGGGTTACAGGTGTGAGACTTGCTGACTTTCTTTTGATTTTCTGAGTTACCACCTTCTCAAGCACAGGAGAGCAGTTCTGGGGCCCTGGGAACTCCTGTATACTTGATCTTCCACAGTATGGATCTGGATTCTTCTGTTTTTTTTTTTTTTTTTGAGACGGAGTCTTGCTCTGTCGCCGGGGCTGGAGCCCAGTGGCCGGATCTCAGCTCACTGCAAGCTCCGCCTCCCGGGTTTACGCCATTCTCCTGCCTCAGCTCCTGTGTAGCTGGACTACAGGCGCCCGCCACCTCGCCCGGCTAGTTTTTTGTATTTTTTTTTTTTAGTAGAGACGGGGTTTCACCGTGTTCGCCAGGATGGTCTCGATTTCCTGACCTCGTGATCCGCCCGTCTCGGCCTCCCAAAGTGCTGGGATTACAGGCTTGAGCCACCGCGCCCGGCCTTGTTTTTTTTTTTTTGAGACGGAGTCTCGCTCTGTCGCCCAGGCTGGAGTGCAGTGGCCAGATCTCAGCTCACTGCAAGCTCCGCCTCCCGGGTTCCTGCCATTTTCCTGCCTCAGCCTCCCAAGTAGCTGGGACTACAGGCGCCCGCCACCTCGCCCGGCTAGGTTTTTGTATTTTTTAGTACAGACGGGGTTTCACCGTGTTCGCCAGGATGGTCTCGATCTCCTGACCTCGTGATCCGCCCGTCTCGGCCTCCCAAAGTGCTGGGATTACAGGCTTGAGCCACCGCGCCCGGCTGGATCTGGATTCTTCTAAGAGATGGAAGGACAGAGGGAGACTGCCCTTTGCTTGCCACGTGGACTCTTCTCCCCTTACACTCACTGAAGTCCAAGATTTCCACCATCCTGTGGTTTCTTTCTTTTTCTTTTTTTTTTGAGACAGAGTTTCACTCTGTTCTCTGGTGCCCAGGCTGGAGTGCAATGGCGTGATCTCGGCTCACTGCAACCTCCGCCTCCCAGGTTCAAGTGATTCTCCTGCCTCAGCCTCTCAAGTAGCTGGGATTACAGGCATGCGCCACCACGCCCAGCTAATTTTGTATTTTTAGTAGAGATGGGGTTTCTCCATGTTGGTCAGGCTGGTCTCACACTCCCGATCTCAGGTGATCCTCCCACCTCAGCCTCTCTAAGTGCTGGGATTACAGGCGTGAGCCACCATGCCCGGCCCATGCTGTGGTTTCTCATAGCTCTTCCTCTAGTCCAGGCCCTCTCCTGAACTCTGTACTTATATTCCTGGCAACTTCTTCATCACCTCTTCTTGGGGTCTCAAAGTTAACACTCTTAAGCTGAAGTCTCTACTTGACCATTCTAGAACTAATCCTCCTTCTGCGATTCCTATTAAGGGCTTTCTAAAGCACTGATGTGACTGTGTATCTCCCCTCTTTAATACACATACACACACACACAGATTTATATACATATATACATATCCAGAATGAAATAGACAAAAAATATTAATGGTTATTCTTGGATGATAAAAATATAGGTAATTTTTTGGCCAGGCACGGTGGCTCATGCCTGTAATCCCAGCACTTTGGGAGGCTGAGGTGGGCGGATCACATGGTCAGGAGATCAGGACCATCCTGGCTAACACGGTGAAACCTCATCTCTACTAAAAATACAAAAACTTAGCCGGGCGTGGTTGCGGGCGCCTGTAGTCCCAGCTACTCGGGAGATTGAGGCAGGAGAATGGTGTGAACCTGGGAGGTGGAGCTTGCAGTGAGCCGAGATAGCGCCAGCCTGGGTGACAGAGCAAGACTCCGTCTCAGATTTTTATATATATATATATATATACACACACACACACACACACACACACACACATATATATGTAATTTTTATTTTATTCTTTTTTTTTTTTTTTTTTTTTTGAGACGGAATCTCACTCTCTTGCCCAGGCTGAAGTGCAGTGGTGGGATCTCAGCTCACTGCAACCTCTGACTCCCAGGTTCAAGCACTTCTTCTGCTTCAGCTCCCCTGAGTAGCTGGGATTATAAGCGCCCACTACCAGGCCTGGATAATTTTTTTTATTTTTAGTAGAGACGGGGTTTCACTATATTGGCCAGGCTGGTCTCAAACTCCTGACCTCAGGTGATCCACCTGCCTCAGCCTGCCAAAGTGCTGGGATTACAGGCATGAGCCACCATGCCCGGCCTCTTTATTCCTTTTAATATTATCACAAGTTATTTATACTTCCTTTCTCTTGTTCTTGATCAGTCTCATTAGAGGTTTATCAATTTTATTACTCTTTTCAAAGAACCATCTTTTGTTTATCTGGATATTTCTCTTGATTTATCTCCCTCTTCACTAATTCTCTCTCCAGCTGTGTCTCATCTACTGTTAAACCTATCTACTGAGTTCTTAAGTTATCGTATTTTTCAGTTTTAGAATTTCCATGTGGCCTTCTTAAAGTTTCAAGATTCCTGCCAAATTTTTTATCTTGCCTTATAATTCCTTGAATATTTTATTTTTTATTTTTTTGAGATGGGATCTCTCTGTGTCACCCAGGCTGGAATGCAGTGGCACCATCTTAGTTCACTGCAACCTCCACCTCCTGGGCTCAAGCAATCCTCTCACCTCAGTCTCCCACGTAGCTGGGTCTACAGGTGCACACTGTCACACCCGGCTAATGTTTGTACTTTTAAGTAGAAACAGGGTTTTGCCATGTTGCCCAGGCTGGTTTCAAACTCTTGGGTTCAAGCAATCTGCCTGCCTCGGACTCCCAAAATGCTGGGATTACAAGCATGAGCCACCACACCCAGCCTAGAATATTTAATTTAATTAATTAATTTTATTTTGAGACGGAGTCTCACTGTCACCCAGGCTGGAGTGCAGTGGGGCAATCTTGGCTAATTGCAACCTCTGCCTCCTGGATTCAAGCAATTCTCCTGCCTCAGCCTCCAGAGTAGCTGAGATTACAGGTGTGTGTCACCATGCCCAGCTAATTTTTGTATTTTTAGTAGAGATGGAGTTTCACCATGTTGGCCAGGCTGGTCTCAAACTCCTGATCTCAAGTGTTCCACCCACCTTGGCTTCCCAAAGTGCTGGGATTATAGGCGTGAGCCACCACACTCAAGCTATTTATTTATTTTTTTAGAGGTGGGTCTTGCTCTATCACCCAGGCTGGAGTGCAGTGGCATGATCATGGTTCACTGCAGCCTTGAACTCCTGGTCTCAAGTGATCCTCCCATCTCAGCCTCCTGGGTAGCTGGGAGTACAGGCACAAGCCACTTCATTATCTGGGTCACCTAAGGGTCTGTTTCTTTTGTTTTTTTTGTTTTGTTTTTTTTGGAGACAGAGTCTTGCTCTGTCACACAGGTTGGAGTGCAGTGGTGTGATCTCGGCTCACTGCAACCTCCACCTCCTGGGTTCAAATGATTTACTTTCCTCAGCCTCCCGAATAGCTGGGATTACAGGCCCACACCACCATGCCCAGCTATTTTTTTTTTTTTTTAATTTTTTTTTTTTTTTTTGAGACGGAGTCTCGCTCTGTAGCCCAGGCTGGAGTGCAGTGGCCGGATCTCAGCTCACTGCAAGCTCCGCCTCCCGGGTTCACGCCATTCTCCGGCCTCAGCCTCCCGAGTAGCTGGGACTACAGGCGCCCGCCACCTCGCCCGGCTAGTTTTTTGTATTTCTTAGTAGAGACGGGGTTTCACCGTGTTATCCAGTATGGTCTCGATCTCCTGACCTCGTGATCCACCCGTCTCGGCCTCCCAAAGTGCTGGGATTACAGGCTTGAGCCACCGCGCCCGGCCTTTTTTTATTTTTAGTAGAGATGGAGTTTCACCATGTGGGCCAGGCTGGTCTTGAACTCCTGACCTCAAGTGATCTGCCCGCCTCTGCCTCCCAAAGTGCTGGAATTGGAGGCATGAGCCACCATGCCTGGCCTCTTTTGTCCATTTTTTTTTTTCTTCTCATTTTCAATCACATCTTGTCCCATTGTATGACTGGTTATTTCTGATTGAGTGGGGGCATCCCATATGAATAACTGTAGAGGAAATTGGAGGCTCTGGGAGGCGTCATCTTCCTCCAGAGAAGACAGATCTTTACTTCTGGCAGGCGGCCAGACGGTCGGTCAACTTCCAATTGCCCTTACTCCTAGTGGGTGGCCCCTCAGGGACCCAACCCAACCCAAAGCTTGAGGGTTAGGGGACGCTTACGAGGGTCTTTCAGCAGGCCTTGAACTTCAGCTTCTGCCCCTCAGCCCTGTGTGCCTGTGAAAAGCTCTACTCCGTTCCTCAGCTCCTAAGCAGCTGTGTAGAGGAAAAGTGTCCCAAATGCCAGGCTCACCTCTCTAGGTTCCCTCTTCTCCCAATCTTGACCTCACAATTCATGACTGCCTTGCAGGCCCTTTAGTACTATCAGATTGATTGTTTGTTGAGATGGGGTCTCCCTCTGTCGCCCAGGCTGGAATGCAGTGGTGTGATCTTAGCTCACTACAGCCTCTACCTCCTGGACTTAAGTGATCCTCCTACCCCAGGCGCTCACGTAGCTGGGACCACAGATGCACACCCCACCATGCCTGGCTTTTTTTTTTTTTTTTTTTTTTTTGAGTGAGTCTGCCTGAATTACCCTAAGAATTGCTAAAAGTGAGAGTTACTCCCAAATCATCTACAATACAGACATATTATTTTATTAAGCAGAGTAATTTCTTTTTTTTTTTTCTTTTTTTTCTTTTTTTTTTTTTGAGATGGAGTCTTGCTCTGTCACCCAGGCTGGAGTGCAGTGGTGCAATCTTGGCTCACTGCAACCTCCACCTCCCAAGTTCAAGCGATTCTCTCACCTCTGCCTCCCGAGTAGCTGGGATTACAGGCATGCACCACCATGCCTGGCTAATTTTTGTATATTTAGTAGAGATGGGGTTTCACCATGTTGGCCAGGCTGGTCTCCAACTCCTGACCTCAAGTGATCTGCCTGCCTCGGCCTCCCAGAGTGCTGGTGGCTCACGCCACCATGCCCGGGCCTGAGTCATTTATTTCCTAAAAAGGAAAAGACATATTAGAGGACCACAAGATAAAGTGGAAATCCCTCACCACAGCAGGTAAAGCCCTCACCATCAAGTTACCATATCCCTTACTGCTTCCTTCTCACGGTTCCCTTCCTGAACTCAGGAAGCCGTCACTGGCCACGCGGCCCTGAACAAAGGGCTCCTCTGTGACCCAGAGTGAAGGCCGGCCCTGCTGCCTCCCGAGCTCTGGTGATGGGAGCTAGAAGGGTGTCCTTCCTGTCCCTGCACCCTGTCCCAGACACTGGAGGAACTCAGGGTGTGCTGACAAGCACGGGGGAGGTCCTGACCCTGAGTGTTGTGGGGGTGAAGGGGATCAAAGAGCCCCAGGAGCAGGTAACGCCTCCTCTGCTTGCTGGGAGCACCTCCACTCCCTGCTTCCATCCCAGCCCGGGCACAGGGTCCGGTCACTCTGTCCTCAGGACTCCAACGGCCTCAGCACAAACTCCCACTTCCTCAGCACCAGTTCAGTGTCCCGTGCCCAGATGTCGTGGTGCCACACAGCAACTGCTCTGTCCATAGGAACAGCGGCATGCACACCACGTGGCCAGTGTGGGCCATCTCATCAGCGCTCCCAGCCCGCAACCCAGCCACGCTCACCATCACTATGTCTGTCTCCGTGAAGGTGGGATCAAGGGAGCAGACGGACAACACCAGCTCCTGGAGTCCTAGGCCAGGCCCTGAGGTGAGTGGAGACCACCCCAGGCTCTGACCCTGACCCCATTGCCCAGAGAGGTCACCCGGGAGGCAGGGGGCAGTCCAGTTGCCATGGGGGAAGGAAGAGCCTGGCCTTTGCAGTCACACAGACTGGGCTCTGCTGCGTTTAGCTGTGTGATCTCAGACAAACCTATGACCTCTCTGGGCCTCTGTTTCCTCATTGTGAAGTAGGGACGTCAGGGGGTTGTTGGAGGACTCAGTGAAGAGATGAAAGACCCGGGTTAGAGGCTCTGCCAGACTCTGCGGAGCATTACAATTCTGGCCATCCACCGAGGGCTTCCTCAGGCTGGACTCTGCACTGAGTAGGGCCTGCTGAAGTAGCTGGTGCCCTGGGTCCCGCCCTAGTGACTCAACGGCCACCCTGAGTCCCAGGGTCCAGAAGCCTGCAGACCTGCTGGGGGACCCTCCACGGCACAGCTCAAGCCAAGTCAGAGGAAGCACAGGGAAGCAAGGGTGGGGTGTCCTGTCCAGGCACCTTTGGTGAATCTCTGGGCGTTCCCGTGGTCCCGCTACAGTGCCTGCTCTGTGTCAGCCAGTCCCACCAGGGCCGCCGCGGCCAGCACCCCCACCTGGTGCACGCCTCCACCCAGGGCTTTTTGGAGGCACCAAGCTTCTTCAATGAAGTCCTTGAGCCTCCCAGCACCCTACTGGGGCGCCCAGGCCCTGGGAGGTGGCGAGGAGAGACTCCTGCCAGCCCACATCCCTGTCCTTGGCCCGGGGTAGGCACAGATGCATAGCCCTGTCTGCAGAGGTGTTAAAGGGGAACCTGGGGCTGGCTGCCAGGGATGGAGCTCAGGAATCCAACACTGCCTCCTGCTGGGGCGCCCCACCCCACCTGTCTGTGGGAGGCCAGCCCAGGGCTTTCCCACCTCGGAGAGGCAGAAAGACACAGAGTCACAGTGCTCCACGATGTGGGTGGTGGGACATGCAGGGCCAGTGCCATGTTCATCAGCTGGGCCCCATCCAGGTGGACCTGGGCCCTGTAGGTCTGGGCCAGGAGGTGCACCTGGAGATGAGGTGCACCTGGGGACGAGGTGCAGGCAGTCAGAGGGGCTGGGCCTGAGGGAGGCATAGAGGGAAGGAGGGGTCTGGGCTTAGCTGCCTGAGGAATCATGAGGGATCAGGAGACCTGGCTGGTGACTGGCTCTGGCGATCTGGGACCTGAGCAGTCAGGCTGTGCTGCCTGAGCCTCCGTGCTGGGCTCTGGGAGGGGCTGGGGGTGCACATTTAACCCAGCTTTGTCGCACACTGACCATGGGCCAAATGCTAGCCGTGGGCCAAGGGTAAATGTGTGTCACCTCATTTAGGCTTCACGACAACTCAAGGGAGACGCTACTGCTCCCATTTCACAGGCAAGGAACGAAAGGCTTGGAGGGTTAGGCTGCTGTCTAATTAGTGTCTGGTAAACAGCAGAGCTCAGACACTGCGGCCTCCTCACCTTGCATGTGGGTGGCAAGGACCAGGTGGAGGGCACTCACACACGCTCGTTCCTACAGCCTGACGGGACGCGTGTTTCCAGGCCAAGGCAGCAGACCCTGGTGCTGCTCTGGGACTCGGCTCTCGGGGCTTGGAGGTGGGGGCATCTCTGCTCTTGGGCTGCTGCAGGCACTAGGGGCCCTGGCCTGGGGCAATAATTCCCTTTGTGTCTCAGCCTAGGACCATACATGTGTCCTTCCTGAGACAGGTCTGGCCACTGATGGGTGCCCATGGCACAAATCAGAGGGGACTGAACCCCAGGATGGGCCAGGGGCACAGGAAGCCAGGATCAGGCTGGTGGAGGGCGCACAGTGGTGGCGCCGGGCCTACCTGGCGTAGGTAGTCGATGGAGAGGACCCGGCCCCCGCAGGGTGCTGTGTGAGTTCTCCAGGCAAATGAGCTTGCAGACCTGGTAGTAGGTGCTCCGGAGGCCCCATGTGATCATCCTCTCCAGCTCAGCCAGGTCCAGGGTGCCATGGGGCAGGTCTGGAAGGGAGTGGGAGTACACTCTAGCAATCTGTGGGTCAGGGAGGAGATGAGGGCTGAGGGCTCCAGGGGCACCTCCTGGCGGAGTGGGGGGCTCCTCTGGAGTAAGGAGCCAGACCCTGAGTCCTGTGCCGGCTCCCCCGAGCCCTGGGCCTTGGAGCCTTTCCTCTGTTCTGTGCACCTGGACAGACGTCACAGCTGGGGGGCACTGGACCCCTCCCCTGTTAACTCTTCAGATGCTGCTGACTCCTGTCGGGAGCGCGGGAGTGCTCTGAGTGCCCACTAGAGGGCAGCAGGCACCAAGCACCGCCCAGGTGTCTGCCCGGCAAGCCTGGGGCCAGCCCCAGCCGCTGCCGCCCCCACGTGGCAAATCTGGGGCTCTGCTCTCCTTCCTTCCTCCCCTGGAGAGGCCACCATCCCAGCCAGCTTCTCCGTGGCTGTCCCTTCCTTCCCTCTGCAGGTCTCAGCCTGGGGCCTTACCCCTGAGCAGCCTGCGCTGGCTGAAGGATGCCCAGGGCCCCAGGTGAGCAGTGCCTGCTCCTTACCTGAGCCGCCCCCACTCTGCTCATAGATGGCACTCCTGCCCAAGGAGGAGCTGGGAGCCCCGGCACCGGCAGTGACACATCACTGAGACAGAAGGAGGGCAGGTCTTGGCACTGAGTCTGGAGGCATGTGGCCCTGCTCAGTGTGGCCAGGCTGAGCCCTAAGGCTACAGCCAACTCAAGTGCCTGAGGCCGGCAAGGAAACAGCACCTTCAAGACACCTCAGTGCTACGTGCCGGAAAACCATCCCGTTAAACACACAAGTCTAGGATGGCCATGCTGTGCTGGGAATCGCTGGGCCACGCCCAGCCTGCACACCTGCACCCCGAGGCCCTTCTGCAGAGCATCACCTGCTGGAGAAGCTGCTGCAATGCTGCTTCTGGGTGGACAAGTCGCCAAGGCACCTGCAGGCGTCAGACCCTGGCAGGAAACAGATGGCACGCATACACTGGGAAACTGGCAGTGTTTAATCATGGGATGGTTTACTGAGGGGGAGGCAGGAGCAGGGAAGCCCGGAGGACAGGCCTGAGGGGTGAGAGGAAGGCGTGGCTGCAGGAACCCAGAGCCAGGGCTGTGTGGAGAGGTCCCTGGTGTTGGCCCAAAGGCCCTGGGGACCCTCGGAAGAGGAGCTGGGGAGGAGCAGACCTGTAGCCCCCACCCTCTTCCTCCCCCATCTCTTTCCAGGGCTCCCCACCGGCTGAACCAAACAGAAATGCAGGAATGTGGTCCACAAGTGTCACAGCTCCCCGTATGGACTGAGGACCCGCTGGGTAGACAGAAGTCACCCTGTGCTCACCAGAGATGAGGTTGGCCATAGTGTTGGAGGGCACAAAGAGGGTGCGCTCCAGCCCTAGCAGCTCCACAGGCATTTCTTGCAGCTCTGTGGAGGGACAGGGAAGCCATTGTGCTCGCACACTCGGGTGTCAGCGCCGTCCACACTGCTTTCCCTGTGTCACTTGGGCCAGAGCATGCCCTGAGCCCAGGTGAGGCCCCTAGCCCGAGGCTCCGGTGAGCGGCCAAGTGGGTTTGGAGCCCCGTCCACCAGCTGCACACTCTGTGGGCTTAGGAACCACACATCCAGCTCCACAGGGCCCTCAGTGAACTCTGCACCCCACCTCCCCAGGGCCATGGCCTCTCCCTGCTCCCCCCAAGAACCTCTCTTGTGGTTTGAACCCATCTCTGGCAGGCCTCACACCTGTCTCACTTCCTCTCCCCTCAGCCCTTTGCAGGTGGGGCCTGTGGTTTCTCTGCTGACTTCCTTTCCTCATCAGGAGGGGTGACTGGGGGGCTGGACAGGGCATGAGGGTGCAACTGGAGGGCGAGGAAGGCTCCCACTCTTGCTGTAAAGCCCACTGTGGTCCCCCGCAACTGTGGCATCAAGTCCTTAGCATGACACTCAGGGCTGGCGTGACCTGGCTTCTGCCCCCAGTTCCTCAGAGCCTCCTGCACTCTCCACTCCTGCCACATACCCACCTGAGCCCTGAAGACCTTTCTCACTAGTCTGCTTCTGCTCCTGAAGCCCCTGCCCTGTGAGCCGGCACTTCCTTCCCTGCCTGGGTTGCTTCCACTCAGCCTGCAGGAGGGTTCCTCTGGGAAGGACCCTTCCCCATGAGCCACAGCCTCTCCCCATCCTCTGCTTTCCAGGGCACCCTCTATAGACTCCCGTCAACTCAAGCACCTCCCCAGCCTCCCCTTGCGTGGCAGTGACTTGTTGACATGTGAGGCTGCCTGGGAGCATGGAGGTCAGCATCTCCGGCCACACTAGGCGGCAGCTGGATACATGCTCAGCCCCAGCCACCCCTTAACAGACGGGACCTTGGGATCCAACTGGCGACCCCATGGTTTGTCCTGTCCTAGCTGAGGGGTGTGCACACCCCAGCAGTCAAAGTGGTTCACTATGGCAACTCACAACCCAGGGCTGGGGCTGGGGGTCACTGTACCCTGGAGACACTCCCTAGGTCATTATAACCCACTCCTTGGGAGGTGCAGCCTGTAGAACCTGCCCCTTTCTACATCTATTTTCCGTTTGCCTTCTGTGGGGGAAGGCAGTGCAGGAGAACAGTTGTGGGTTTCAGAGTCAGAAGACCCTTGGTTCAAACCTTGGTTCTGCCATTTACTAAGTATGCGGCCTGGAGCGCCTCCCTCCACATCTCAGAGCCCTCCTGTGCAAGACTGGACATCACCCATTTCAGGGGGCAGCTGGGTGACAATGCAGGGCACACACAACCACCTGGTGAGCCTGTAGAAATACAGGTTCTCCTCAGCGGGCCCTGAGAATCTGCATTTCTTTTCTTTCTTTCCTTTTTTTTTCTTTTTTTTTTTTTTTTTGAGACATAGCCTTGCTCTGTCCCCCAGACTTGAGTGCAGTAGCGTCCGGCTCACCGCAAGCTCCGCCTCCCGGGTTCATGCCATTCTCCTGCCTCAGCCTCCCGAGTGGCTGGGACTACAGGTGCCTGCCACCACTCCTGGCTGATTTCTTTTTGTATTTTTAGTAGAGACAGGGTTTCACCGTGTTAGCCAGGATGGTCTCAATCTCCTGACCTCATGATCTGCCTGCCTCGGCCTCCCAAAGTGCTGGGATTACAGGCTTGAGCCACTGCGCCTGGTCTTTCTTTCTTTCTTTCTTTTTGAGATGGAGTCTCGCTCTTGTTGTGCAGGCTGGACTGCAGTGGGACGATCTCGGCTCATTGCAACCTCTGCCTCCCAGGTTCAAGTGATTCTCCTGCCTCAGCCTCCTGAGAAGCTGGGATTACAGGCGCCCACCACCACACCCGGCTAATTTTTGTATTTTTAGTAGAGATGGGGTTTCACCATGTTGGCCAGGCTGGTCTCGAACTGCTGACCTCGTGATCCTCCCACCTTGGCCTCTCAAAATGCTAGGATTACAGGCATGAGCCACTGTGCCCGGCCGGAATCTGCATTTCTAACTTTCAGATAACAGCCGCACGCACGCAGAGGGCAAGCCTATCCTGTGGCAGGTGTTCATTAAACCCATTTATGTCGGAGGTTGCAATTTTTTGAATTGTTGCCATCAGACCTTGGCGATGACCTTGAGCAGTAGGCTATAAATACCTCCCAGATGCTTAGTGTTCCAATAATGGAACACTAGGCATAAATGGGTTTTAAGCTCCAGCAGAGCCACCTCCCCTGCGTCCCAGTCCACCACGGACAGCGCTCTGTTGCCGCCTCCACGACCCCAGGCCTGCACGCCGGTCTTCGCCGTAGTCGTCCCCCACGACCGCCTCGGCCATGGCGCGCCTCATGGGCGGCCCGGGCGTGGTCACCGTGTCGCTGCGCAGGCCCACCACGGGGGCTGCGACCCCCGCGCGGCTCCCAGACCCCCGCGCCCGGAGAGCCCCATGTACCGGGGCCGCCGCTCGGGCCAGTCTGCGGAGCATGGCGCGGACAGCGCCCGGATCCCCACCCCGACGGGAGCTGCTGACTTTTGTACTCCCCAGCTAGGGCGGCGGGAGCGGCGGGGTCGGTGCGGCCAGAATTCCAAGAGCGGGGAAGCAGCCGCCCTGGGCCGGGGGGCCAGAGAGCGGGACCCGTGGCACGCTGGGAGTTGTAGTTCGCGCTCCCTCGCGGCGTGCCTGCGCGAGCGTCTGAGAACGGGCCCCGTGGCACGCTGGGAGCTGTAGTTCGTGCTGCGTCGCGGAGGAGAACCAGCGAGCCCGTGATGCTGGAGCAGAAGGTTCTGCTCATTGAAGGAGAAACCGAGGCCGAGCGAGTTTTGTTTGTTTGTTGTTTGTTTTTTGTTTTTTTTGTGTGTGTGTGTGAGAGAGAAACAGAGTCTCGCTTTGTCGCCCAGGCCGCAGTGCAGTGACGCGATCTTGACTCACTGCAACCTCCGCCTCACGGGTACAAGCAATTGTCCTGTCTCAGCCTCCCGAATATCTGGGATTACAGGCGCGTGCCACCACACCCAGCTAATTTTCTTTTTCTTTGTTTCTTTGTTTGTTTTTTTTTTTTTTTTTTTTTTTTTTTTTTTTTTTTTGTATTTTTAGTAGAGATGAGGTTTCACCATGTTGGCCAGGCTGGTCTCGAACTCTTGACCTCAGGTGATCCGCCCGCCTTGGCCTCCCAAAGTGCTGGGATTACAGGCGTGAGCCACTGCGCCTGACCCCGGGTGAGTTTTTATAGCGCAGACGCTCGTGTGGCACTTGCTGTGTGCCAGACTCTGCCCCAGGCCCTTTGCAAATATTAGCTTAGTTAAGCTCCTAACAACTCTAGGAGACTATTGCTATCCCTGTCTTGCAGATGGGGAACGGGATCTTGCAGACGGGGAACGCTATTGCTATCCCTGTCTTGCAGATGGGGAACGGGAGACGCGGAGCTAACAGACAGCTGGAGGCCACTTGGGTAGGAATTGGTCGGGGCGGGGTGCGGCTGTCTCCAGAGAGCAACCCTAAATCACCGTGTCATGCTGCCCCTAAAACGCAGCTTCCCTCGTTTACCGTTTTCAGTATTGATTTGTTGAGCAAGTTCGGTGCGCCAGGCAGTGTCCAGGTGCCAGGCAGGGGGACGGCAATGGCTCCACCCAGGTCCCAGTCTAACAGGAGACTGCTAAAAGGGTGCGTGGGGAGCCCCTCCTCCATAGGCCCCTGGCCCTGGGCAGACTGCCTCCATGGGGGCAGGGTGGTGCTGAAGTTCAAGCCAGCTGTGTGGCCTTGGACAAGCCACGTAGCCGCGTTGTGCCTCAGTTTCCTCAACTGCAGATTGGACTGTTGTGAGCATTCAGTGACTGGATATGTGTTTGGTGCTGACCCCAGTGCCTGGCTTGCTGTAAGCTCAGGGTGGTCACCCCACTGTGGCTATTTTTACATTTTTTAAGACAGACAGAGTCTCTCTATCCCCCAAGCTGGAATGTAGTGGTGTGATTACCCCTCACCACAGTCTTGACCTCCTGGGCTTAGGTGAGCCTCCCGCCTCAGCCTCCCAAATAGTTGGGACTACAGGCAAGTGCTACTATGCCCGGCTAATTTTTCTGTCTTTTTTGTAGAGACAAGGTCTTGCTGCGTTGCTCAGGCTGGTCTCAAGCTCCTGAGCCCAAGCCATTCTCCCTCAGTCCCACAAAGTGCTGAGATTAGAGGCGTGAGCCACCGCGACCTGCCCAGCTGTGGCTGTTATTATCATTGTCGTTACTGATCCCAGCTTGGAACCCTGAGGGCCCGGGGGCTTTGGGGTGCACTCTGACTCAGTCCAGACTGTGGGGTGCCCTTCCCCCCAGGGGTTCCCCACAGGGAACACAGGCACCCATTGCCACTCAGCGGTTCCTCTTCTTGGAGCCACAGGGGCTGTCTGTCCCCCATAGGAGAAAATAGATCCAGGAGGGGCCACAGCTCCTGGGCCGAGCGTCTGGTGAGGGCAAGGGTGAGGAGGACACCCATCCTAGATCAGTCATGGCCAGGCCTCTACCACAAGCCAGCTCCAGGCTGGGCCTGGGGACTTAGGGTGAGCAGAGGTGGCCTGCCCTCTAGAGCTCAGGTCCCAGGGGTGGGGGACGAGATGCTGGCCATGAGAGGATGGCAGCGAGGGAGCAGCTCTAACAGGCCCAGTCCAGGCAGCAGGTCAGGCTTCCTGGAGGAAGCAGTGATTAGGCTGAGCTTCGACTTTTGACAAAGGGAATAGCGGGGTGAAGGCTGGGGGGAGAGAGGAGCTGCTGCATTTGTGGCCCTGAGGGCCAGCGTGGCTGGGGAAGTGAACAGGGGTGGGGATGGAGCCCAAAAGCTACATCCGGGGCCGGGTGACCTCTCAGGGGCTCTCCATCTCTCTTCCTTCAGCTTGGTGGGAATCCTGAGTACCCGCGGGGTCTATGGTCCCAAGGACACCCATCTGATGGACAGGCTTGCTGCCCTCCCCTCCCCAGAGCCCTTCTGGGCCTGACCCGCAAACTGCACCAAATTCCTGCCCTGAGAAAACAAGCCCCTTATCGCATTGTCCGGCTCCAGACCTTCTGCTGGGAAGTAGGGGGTGGGGAGCGGAGGCCTCTGTGGGAAGGAAGGGAGGTGGATGGTCTGGCGGGGCAGGGGTTGGGGGCAGGGATAGCAGCTGTCAGGGGAGGAAGGGGACAACCAGATGGACCCCAGGCCCTTCCCAGCTATGGCAGAATCACAGAATGGCCTCCTGTTTGCCGAGCTTTGCAGTCTGCAAAGCCTGCCCTCTGCAGCTTCCCTGTCAATGCTTGCAGCAGCCTTGCAGTGGGAGGACGGGCAGGGAGGTTGGGGTCACAGAGGCCCAAGGACCCTGCCCGAGAGGCACAACTGGTCACTCAGCAGGACCTTTCTCCCTTTCTCCCAAATTAGAGCGGTCTCCCCAGATAGGTGGCCTCTCCCTGGGGGAACCTGGGGCAGAACAGTTTCCTTCTTCCAGGTCCTCCTCTCTAGTCCCCACGTCACCCGGGCCACCCCTGCCTTGTCCCAGTGGTGTCCAACAGTGTGGAGGAGCAAGAAGGGTGGGCTCTCATAGGGAAAGGTGCAGTGAGGCCAGTGGCGGGTGGACCCTTTGACCGCAGCTTGGCCTCTGGGGGGTTGCCTGGGCTCCTGCGTGTGTGTGTGTGTGTGTGTGCATGCGTGTGTGTGTGTGTGACCCTGGCTGCAGCTGAGATCTGAGTTGTCTTACTGGTAAGCTGGGGACAGGCCACAGTTCTCAGGCTGGGATGAGAAACCCAAAGCCCTGTGTGGAACCAACTCCCCTTCCCCCACTGCTGTCACAGCACCGGCCCTCTTTCCTCGCCCTCTCTGCAGTTCTTCTTGACATTCTCACCAGAAGGGTCACCGTCACTGGAGGTCCTAGGGTCATCTCCTGCCCCAATGCAGGCTGGCCCTGGCCCCACACGCCAGCTGCTCCCTTCTCTCCTGAGCCCCTGCCTTCCAGGACTGGCCCCCTGCAGCCCAGCTGTTCCCAAACTTCTGAGCTCCTCTGTGGGTGGGGACAGTGGGGCCTCTCGGCGGGGCTTCCTCCCTGTCCTCTGTGGGATCCAGCCCTTCTGCCTCCCAGACGTCTCCCCGCCCCACACTCGGGCTTGCAACACTTCTGTTCCCGAATGTGCTGGCCTGTCTTTCACCCCGAGACCTCTGCACCTGCATTCTGTCTGGAAAACCCCCAGCCGTCGGCACGCGTCCTTGGTCACCACCTCCTCCATCTTCAGATCTTAGCTGAGACACCTCATTCTCCATGAAGCCCTCCTGGCCCAGCCCAGGGGAGGATGGAGGTGGCCCTCCTCCTGCGGTGCCTGTGGCACCTTTTCTTCCCTCTGCCCACGGGTCACAGCGGCCTGTTTCCTCCTCTGACTTCGTGTGGCTGATGCTCTGC